GACCATATGTTTTGTAAAATGAATGGTATAATCAGTACACTTAATATCCAACACGAATACATCTCGAGCAGTTGGGGCACCATGTATGGACAATATTATAGTAATTTATGTTTACCTTATTGATCAAGGTTTCGCCATTTATCCATATCGAGCGCCGGTCTCTATTTAAAATACAGCTACATGAAATTCCCCGCTCCTTACATAATAACGCCGTTTGCGTAACGTCCATCATCATCATCACCATCTTTTATCCAATTTTGTTTCTTTTCGCCTGAAAAATGCATCGATTTCCCCTGATGATCCACATATCTGCTCGGACGATAAGATGTATCGAAAACATGTCCGTTCCATTAGCCTCCGGGTCATAAAAATCAATCGACAGGATAACATCAGCAGTATGTTTGTGAATTTAAATGGAATGTTGAACGACAACGGTAATGAGGTCGAGTTCATTTTAATACAAGCATCTGGGCTTATTTAGAAACAAGTTCAATAAGTCAGCACTTATTTTATTATTGCTATTTACGTTAGTTGAACGTTTGCTTTCAGCGGCAACCTCAAAAGCGTTTTGCATTTCGACACGTTTTGATAACGTTTCACAGAAAAAAAAATAAACAGGATTATCAATCAATGCATTCGCATTAGATCACTCTTCAAATATTATTTGTTGAGAATGTCTAAATGCATGTAACGGCTGTACTTTTGACGCATTTGCGTTGTGGTTGCAACGGAAGTTACTCGTAATACCAATCTAGCTTTGGTGCTAGATTGCTATTACGAGGGAGGCTAATGAAACTTTATTGCATGCAAAGCTTATTGTAAAATTATATTAAAACAGCCTTCTGGAAACTCATAACTTTCTTTTTTTTAACATATTACATGTTATATTATTCTTCATAAAATATTAATATTTTCATGTCTTTAATTAAATATTCAGTACAATTATACTTTTTATTATAGTTAATACTTGTATACTTTGTATATTCTAATATACTAAATACAGCCAAACCTTAATTAACGAATAGAATGAGTTCCACTTCTTAAAGAAAATGAAGAGCAAAGTGAAATCACATTTTTAAATATTTGTCTAAAGTTGATTGTTTGTGCTTTTTTCTTTTTCATTTAACAATATTTAACTATATGGAGTAATTACAGTTAACATTTCTTCCTAAATCATGATAATTTTTACTGTAAACACGTTTTTAATGTCTTTCAACATAATTTTCTTTATAGACAATGTTTTCTAAATCTTCCAAAATAAAATCATCATCTACTGCATTAAGTAAATTTCTAACATCCTCTTCATATTAAACCTAATAATTGAGTCATCTGGATAACTTCGTTTTTTTTTCATCTAGTACAACTTCTAGCTATATTTTGCGTTAAATTTGAAATTATGAACTTTATTTTATTGAGGTTTTCTAACAGAGATTAATCAAGGTATGACTGTATATTTAGTACAAATTCAACAATACAGTCAATTCCGTTTAATCGGGACACATCGGTACTAGTAACTAATTAACGATTAACCGGTGTCCCAATTAAGCGAATTTGTCTGTATTTCCAAACAAAACCGTTAAAGTTATGTATTTATATAAAAATATATATATTTTATTACATATGTATCATTTATATTAAGTATATCAGTTATTGGACTGTTATCGTCACCCAATGACTCATGAACATCTTCTGATAAGTAAGGTAAATAGTATAAATAAGCTAATTCATTGAGTTTTTTTATGTATATACAAAATCGAAATGATCGGAACGCTTACCAATACAACACACATGTCATCTTTCAAAAATAAAATATATTTGTGGAACCACTTTCTCCTTAAACTTTATAACTCGTCTTGAACTTATCGCAATAATTTGCATTTGCACTATAAATCACGCACCGTTTGAATGTCATTGTTTAACTTATGCACAGTATGCACATTTTGCATGTTATTTACACATAAATAAAACATACTTCAAATATTTTACAACAAAGACATTTTTACCGCATTAGTACTATTTTAACTTAATTAGTTTCAAAGTTTGATATTTCAGTGATATTCAGTAAAAATTTTCTTACAATATTTTCATGTTTACGTATCTTATATTAATTTTGAGATGGCATTGTAAAACCTATGGAATTGCACAATTTGTAGATCCAACATTAGTTATCATTAGTTTACATTTCTAGACAATTGAATCAGATATCTTCGTTAATTGAACCAACATCGATACCATCCGATGTTGGTTCAATCAAAACTATCAAAATTCATCACTTGACATACCAATCAAATTAAAGGGTAATTCCTCTTTACTCGATATTGTACTACTACTCAATGAGTTAAGGTTTAGAAACGTTATTGTAAATAATCAATAAATATATTTGGGGAGGGTACAATCTGGTGAAATTTCAATTCTCTAAAATGTATTGGCTTCTGAAAAAATCAATATGATTTTGTGGCTTACATAACACCCCAAATATTTCGAAAAATCTTTATATCATGGATTCTATAATGAGATACAATTCAGTAAGAGTAGATTTTGGAAATTTACTTAAACTAGGTGAACGAAAAATTATTTTGCAAATATTATTACGTAGTCTTATCATTAGTTTACATTATGCTTAGAGATAACAGCAAGAATAGTGCATATTTTTTTATAAATTAATACTAAATGTATCAATTGCGCTTCCGCTATGAATTATATTCCATGAATTCCGTTCCCCAAATATTTTTTCATTCCTTTAAAGGAAATGACATCATCATTTTCGTCATCGTCTTCTATCGCGGAACAAGATTAAGACGCCGCAAATATTTTATTTATTGAGCAATGGAAAAGTTTATTTATTGTTTGGTCGAGTGCTTGCTTGCTTGCTGTTAGTTTTGTGTTTGGATAAAATACGCAACTCTATTATTTTGAAATCATATAGCAACAACAACAAAAAAACACAAAACAATGAGATATTAATGTTTAAAACAATAACAGTTTATTGTTTTGTGCAATGCGTATAGTTGAAGTTTTAGATCGTATTTAAATAGAAAAATGTACGGTTTATATATACGGTGTATATTTCTTTAAGTAAAAAATGGTGCGACTTATTATCCAAAATAAGTTGATATGTTAGTTATGATGATAAAAATAATAATGAATGTATTCAAATTAAAGATGTGTTGGATGTACATATAAAATGTTACGTAATGGATAATATTTTATCATTGGATGCATAAAAAATCGATTAAAGTCGAATGTTGATTGCATCCAATTCTAGTTTAATTAATTTATTGCCATAAAAGGCGCGAAGATTGAGCTATTTTACATTTATTAATGTAAATATGCGTTATGTTATTTAAATGTCGATAAAAGCTTAATTCTTGAGTATTCTTGAATAAAGTAGTAGAATTAGTAATAATTAATAGGAATGTTTAATGTATTTATTAGTGATTTCATTCTTATATTGCGAAACGTACGGTCTTCGTCATGTGTCTTTTCGTATTTTGAATTCCTGTAATGATGTATGAACTCTTGGATTTGGTCGAAAACCAGTGACCAAAGAGAATGAATTTTGAAGCAACCTTCAATCGCCGCTGGGGAGGGGAGTCGTTGAGGACGACATTGCATACAGGGAGCTCCAGTAGTGTAGCTATACTCCTGCTAGCAAATACTGGGCTTGAACAAACCCGATCCAAAGTAAATTCAAATCGCAACAAGGGATCTCAAATAAGTTTACGGAATCCAATTCCAATCTTCAAAAAAAAAAACCCACCGAGTGAACCGAATTAATTAATTAGTGAAGATGGCAACAAACAGAGCAACCAAAAGTGGATTTGCCGCCGAAGCTCAAAGAAAGGTCAGTTTGCAATTTACATTCTCACTTCTTCTATAAAGGTGCATTGTTTGTTGCGCCGCAAGAGCAGAGACAGGAAAAAAGAAGGAACGCCGGTTATATTATTTTTTTTAAGTGTCTCTTTCACGAAAGCCAAAGAAAACAGCGCGTTATTAGTTCCTTCTTATTGGAACAGCGATGGGATCGATGCAATTTTATTAACCAGCAGGTGGTTTTAAGGCGAGGCCTCTCTCACTCTGCTGCACCATCTGCTCACAAAAAGAGCTTTCTCCTGGCTGCATTCTTCTTACATAACCGGAAAATTCTGTCTCGATTGCATTTCGCATTCCTCCACCTCCAGTTTTTGTCTTCAATTTTATTTTATTTTTTTACTTTATCCCTTGCACGTTTCTGGGCTGGGATGTGCAGAACTGCAGCCGGCTGAATGTAGGTCACGAGGAAAAAATCGATGTTTAACCTTGTTCAAAACAAATATAATCTTTTCTCTGCGTTCCTTATCGCTCAAGTACTTGGATATACATCCAAAATAATGTTAAACAAAATACATAGAGAGAGATACGAAATTGGAAATAGTTATTTATAATAAATGACGCCATCGAAAATCAATTACAACTTTTGATTTAAACGATGTTATTACAGCAATTACTCAATTTACCATTACGAAATTCAAATAATTGCAATAACTTCCGATTTTAAGCGAAAAATTACATAAATATGTACCAGAATTATTTACAAATCCAATTTTCTTTAAGCTCATTAAATTCAGTTGTCTGTGATCATATCCTCTCTATCTATAATATTTTCGTCTTCATTTAAACGTACATCAGGTGTAAACATTTATGGTTTGTCGAATGTGAATTATCGCAGTACACTTCCTCTTTGCTTCAATTATACAAATTGATTTCTTAATTGGAATTCATAAAATGTCTTCGACAGCAGGAAATGCGATGCCGTAACGCATGCGATTACTTTTGCAAGTTCGTGTTTTTTTTCGTATCCTTTCCATCGGGTTTCCTATTTCCTCCTCATCAGCTTTATGAGCGTTCGTTTTGTGTTCTTTTTTTCCTTGGAAATGCATTATGTCCAGACTCGAGGAACGTATGTAAATCGAGCGGAAAAATAACTGTGATATGCTTTGCTGGGTTTTCACTTCATTATACAGGAGGTATCTTCACTTCGTCAGCTTCGCTAAAGGTCGCAGTCTAGACTGTAGAACAGAGTGCACGTCTTGATTTGAGTAAGGAAAATGTGTGCAATCTTAATGCATGCATTTCTCTTGGGCGATTATTTACGTTGCCTCAAGGTGTTAAAACGTACATGCAACGGTTAAATGTTCAAATTCCGTTAACTTTCTAGATAAACGGCAGTACGTTCTTTGCATCCACCCTTCAGTTACAACCCGTTATTTTTAGAAACCACTCATCGTTAAGAAATTCTGACGTGGTTAAAAAATAAACTTGTTTATTTAATAAACAAGATTACCACTCCATCATGACTTATCTCTTCCAATTCCATAAATAAACAGAAAATTACATAAATACACTTAATTCTTCCCTAACTGATATATCTGAAGAATTACACTTAAATTCGGGTAGAATCAGTTTGAAATTTTACAATAAACCAAACCTTTTTACATAGGCAAAGATGCACCTTTTAAATAATAAAATATTTTTATCTTAATTTATTTAATATAGTAATTAGTAAGCGTGTGACCTAGAAACCTACAATATTATGTGGCAAATGATATAATTCTTCATTATCGTGTTTCCGCTTCAGATTGTGAATAATCATGTGAGCGCGAAAACGAATGAAATTGGTAATTTCCGCACAAGAAAATTTATCAAGAAGATTATTCATTTGGTCACCGCAACTTCACCAAAAGATTTTCGGTTACAAATTTTTAATTTGTTAAACAGATTGTTTCGTTACGAGCTGAAAAAATATGGTTAATAATATTGAGTCACCGTCGTCTTTTCTATTTATAGGCCGTGAAGTCACACATCAAATTTACAATCAATTACAGCCATTGCTCTACGAACATATGCACACAGGCTAACAGTTTTTTTTTTATTTATTTGCCTGATACGTATATGCTGAGTTGGCTTTCAGTTTATGCAAATATTTATCGTCTGATACGGTTTCAATCAGTTTCACTTCTTGTATTTCACATTTTGCTCAAGCGAAACGCACAAAAAGATCGAATAAACGCAAAATATTATATTTATTAAGGTGTTGAGTTTCATGGGATCTTCCGTTCTGCTTCCTAGTTTAGGTCAATAATCGCATAAAATATCGCATAAAATATTATCAGCATATTGAAATTTAATAAAGTTACTATTAATAAATATTACAATTCACGTTTGAAAAACTTATCAATTTGATACAAGCTTAGTATCATCAAATATTCCTTAAATTAAGTTCAAAGTCCTCTCATTTTTTTATTGCTGATAAGTTTCTCTGTCATATCAAATGATTACTTTCTCACGAAAAATCACGTCATCTGCCTAAACCTTGATCATGATGATTTCAACTGATACTTATCAACTGTAAATTTATTTTTATACATATTTAACAACTCAATAAACTTGATAAATGTAACGAAATCTTGTGATTAAATGCACGTAGCTATATCATTGTCCAATTTTAACACTGTTGTTGAATATTTTATATACAGTGGAACCTCTCTTAACGAGTACTTCTCATAACGAGCATTTCGCTCAACGAGCAAAATGAATTGTAAGAAAAATGACTCGCTTTCGCATAACGAGTGACGATGGGAAGAGAAGTCCCCCCTGCTACATCATATTTAAAACTTCTGTTTTAATATGTTTCACTATACGGAAATTTTGGAACGGATTAAACTAGTTAACAGAGGTTCCATTGTATATATTTTGCTTTAAATTGTTACTAATTATACGAGTATTCAATAAATGTTATTTTTTTACCTTAATTGTTTTGAAGTTAATTTAGCATCAGTAAATATTGTAGTAATTTGTAGTATTAAAACAAAATGTATTATTATTACTTTGACGGACGGAATGAATAGATCGAAGGAAACGCAATGCCTTTCATAAACTCTCAATGCTTTACACATAATAGTATTCTCGTCTATTTCAAACACAGCAATTACACGACCCATTAATACATTGTCTTTCATAAATAATTTCAGATATAAGTCAATATTATATGTAGTTACTTATACAAAATAAAACAAACCGCAGTTTAGTTCAACTAAAGTTATTTCACTGTTCTTTGTCTCATCAAGTTATGGTTCATAAATATATGAATATAAACTGGTACAATTTGTGCTCATGCATGTTCGTGTTAATAGCCAAATAAATTTCACGTTATATTTTTATGATTATGAAACGAGCCGAATGTAACATTAAATGTTACATAAAATTTAATGATTAACGATTGATCAGACATGTGCCATGACGAACATGAATGAAATTGTCTAAATTTCACCTCGACACCAATTACGAATAAGGAGATTTGCAAACAATTTGAAATTTGATACTCTCTTTATTTTTTTATTTGTAAGTCATCCTTGACATTTGCGCAAATCTTTATTATTTTGTAAGGTTTACGAGTGAGTAATTATAGAATATAGCATTACAACAATTGTGTACATCAAATTTGGAATAACAAGGAACTGAAATGCAAACATCATTTATTATTGTGAAATATGTTTATTAATGAACGTTTTTATATGAAATAATAATTAACAAGTATCTACCACTCATAAATTTATATATATTTCTTATAAACAAATATACAGACTGAACGAGTACTTCAAATTGATTTTTATTTTAATTTACTCATATAAAGAGGCTTTTAAAATTAAGGTTCAAAGTATTTAAAGATAATTTTAAGAAGTTAAGTAACTAGATTAAGTGTTCACATAGATGATTATGAGATCTATCAGATGCTAAAGTCAACTGAAATATTTAGAAATATGTAATTTTAAAGGTTATTCAAAATAATATATCAAAGTTATATCAGTAATATCTGCATTTCTTCAAAATTGTCTTATATAAAAATAGATTGTTCGAGAAGGATAACTGCATAAAAAGTTCCTTAATTTAAGTTATAATAAAAATCTATTATATATGAGTTAAAATATTTATAATGAACTGACATATCTTAGTTATTATGTCATGTCATGTTTTTCATTATAAACGTGGGAATGTATCAAAATGTTTATAAATATTAAAAAGCAAAATAATTGTCGATTTAAGTTTGTAACCAATGTATGTTTATTATTATTGAAGAGTATCACTTAACGATTTGTTATTTTAGATTTGTTTTTTCATTTTATATGTAATATTTGATTATAAACATTCTTTAATTATTTTAAATCCTTGAGTGTATGTTATTTGAATGAATGACGATTCTAAGAATAGCATTAAGAATAATTTATTTGAAAAAAGTACGTGATAATTATGAGTAAAATATATTTATTTCTGGTTGAATCAATAATCACTAGGAAATGTTTAATAATTATTATAAATTTTGCAAATATTGTTACATATTCATCATAATTACAAATTCTAATTGTATAACCGCTGTCGACGCATACATAAAGGTATCATAATTAAAATGTGTAAAGTTCTCGGTAAAAATTATTCCGGTCACGACGAATGTATTATTGATTTTGTTCTTAGCTCAAGAGTTTTGTTTGTTTTCGTGTATGTGCATAGCGTTTTTTTTTTCATTCCTACCTCTCGGTTCTTGTCTCAGAATTTTTGCCCGAGGGTTTTCTCTCTCGTCTTTCTTCCATTCGTTCCCCGAATGACTCACAAGAGTCTTTGACGTAATTCTTTATGCATATGCTCGTATGTTTCTAAACGTAAACGAAAACCCGTTTCTTAGAGTCCATATATGGCCAACTATTGTATTTCAACGGCGTGGGAGAGAGAAGAAGAAGACGAGGTGAAGACCTGAGGGGAATTCAAAGCTGTCTTTCCGATTTACATAATTCTTAGACGAAATTAATCATCGGCCGATGTTCACATGTCCAAGACCGAGACGAAACCTTTAGAAAACAACATGTTTCTAATTTAGCAACTTCCATGAAATCCGATTAATTCTTCGCCGTTAATTCGTTAAATTGTTTAACCAAAATAAAAAAGTTCATTAACTAAATTTACGGTATTTTAACCGTTTTATTTTTATGATAATAACTAATTACAACTTAACATTTATATAATTATATTCACCATAAAAATACCACAAGTAATAACTGCTGCAATGACCGTCATTGTTTGTAGTTTACAATTGATTATTTTTTTAAAATTTTGTTTATTGTTTCTTAGTAACCATTATCTTTCGGTAGTCCAGTTATGTAAACATGAATAACCTTCGGTATTTCAATAATTTACATACATAAGCAGGCTTACGATTCCATAAACAATATGGGCATATGTTAGTGTTTCGTGAATCGATAATTTCATTAAATAATTATAATTACTCTTTCAAATTGAAGTGGGTTTCATACATTTGAAGTGTGTCACAGATAAAGTTTAATATTAATGAGTGTTCTTCGAATTACCATAGCCTTTTATATTGACCAAAACCACTTTCGTTAATCAGTTACTGTTTCCTGTACACATCCAGTTTAGCATATCTTGCATTCCTGCGTTTAACATTGTTGTAACGAATGTGTAAAGGAAATTAAGAGTGAAATGCTAATGGTAAATATTTACATTGCAGGTGAACGCTAAGTACAGCGAAGAATTAGCTCAAGAATGCCTGGAATGGATAAGGACAATCACGAACGAGGATATCAACTGCGGTGGAGATATGGATAATTTCTACGAAGTATTGAAAGACGGCACTCTTTTGTGCAGGTAAGTTGATCGAACATCAAAGAGACGAAAAAAAATATAGACACGTCTGCACCGGCAAAGAAATAAAGAAACAAATCGCTGTCAGATATTCGTTTCTTGTAAATTCCTTTGTTCTGAAACTTATATTCGCGTGACTGATTGCAGGCTTGTGAATTGCATCCAAAGTGGAAGCGTAAAGAAAATAAACAATACGACGATGGCTTTCAAGTGCATGGAAAACATAAACGCTTTCCTGGAGACCGCCAAGGTCCTCGGCGTCCCGGCTCAAGAGACCTTCCAGACCGTTGATCTCTGGGAAAGACAAAATCTCAACTCCGTCGTCATCTGTATTCAATCACTTGGACGCAAAGTAAGATATCGAAACGCATATCCATATTAGTTCTTACCACTTGCCCATACACATTTAATTTTTAGTGCCGAAGGCATTTTTTTATGACCTGAATCGCTGCTCATTTCCCACCACAAACTGGGTGTGAAGTGTTCAAAGTTCAAGCACGTAGATTTTTTACATACTATTTATTACTTGATCTAGAATATTTTAACTACATTTCCTTCCTTTACTATTCATAAGAAGGCAATATAAATTATTTAATAAAATATTTTAACACGCATAAAATTGCGTCCAGAAATTAAATTTCGTAATGAACACATTTCTGAAAATGTTACAATTAAGAATTTGTTATGCTTTACAAAAAAAAATGTTATTGCTTAGGCAATATTTGTATATAATTATAATAATGGATTTGTATTTTTTTTATTAATATTAATATGTTTGTAGGCTGGTAACTTTGGAAAGCCAAGCATTGGACCGAAGGAAGCCGAGAAAAACGAACGACACTTCTCTGAAGATAAACTGAAGGCTGGACAATCGATCATTGGTCTTCAGATGGGAAGCAATAAAGGTGCTAACCAATCAGGAATCAACTTCGGCAACACCCGTCACATGTAAAGTTCTAGAGAGGTGTGGAGGAGGTAGATCAAGATAAGGAGACGAGACAAGAACCAAGAATTTTCCCAGCGATTTTCATTTAATTAAATAAGACAAAAACTATATCTTCCATAGTTATTGTAGAATTATAATATTTATTAGAATAAACATTTTTAAGTTTAAATTATTTAAGAGAAATACTCGTTATTGAGAGCCACATTTAATAAAATAAAGAAGTAATAATGGAAACGTCGTAATATCATCCAATTGAATTTTAGATTTAGGTTTCGAACGAACCAAGTATTTTTTTTATATTTCAATTTGATGTGTACTTATATGATGGATTTAAATATAATATAACTATGAACGTAATGCTATAAATAAAGAGATAAGTGGAAACGTTATTAGATATTTATTTTTACGCCTCAATTGTTATAATCACATTAAAACATACATTAAAATCTGTATCACATTTTAACAAAAAAATAATGAGTAATTTAGTCAAGCTGAAAATAGAATAAAAAGATGTTTGCAGTTATTTAATGCATTACTTTAATCCTGATAAATTACCTCTAAATCATCTACTATATTAACCATTTCCACGTCTTTTATCCTCTTCTCCCTTCTCGGTTTGTGAGTTTTTGTTTTGGAATAAGCGGTTTTCATTTTTTCCACGCGGTCTTTCAAACTCGTGTAATTCTCTGGCTTCTCGGACATGTATTCAGCGGCCACCGGAATTCCCAATATCTCTGGAACCATATACGGTTTCAGCCATCCAACCAAAGGCGTACATCCGCCGCGATAGTCGACTTCGGAATGGTAGAACAACACTCCATCAAGTTTCTCTTCGTTTTCATTCTCCATAAAATGAGATAAGACGTCCTCGATCAGATTCAATTGAGCCGGGCGCCCAATTACATCAAGGAATGGATACCTGTGTCTCTTGGTTTTCTGTGTAATATCGTGATTTTCCTCCAGTTTCGACTTTAAGAAGAAGAATCGAAATTCGGTCTGTAAATAATTTTATAATATAATAATGGTACATCTTGAAGGCCAGTAGAGATACTTTCCGAACAGTTCACTAAGGAAAATGAATTCCATGCAAGTATGTCAATTATGTAGTACACACTAGTTGTGGGACTAAAGATACAATCCAGTATAGTGAATTTTGAGCCACACTTGTTTCCAGCTCCACCAGGCAACAATGATTCAAATTCAGACTGGAGGACTCCATTCTTATTGTAAGCTTTAGTTGTCCTCTGGAACAAAGGCAAAGGTCATTAAAATGCAGTTACTTTCAATTGAATTGATTACATTGTGGGCAACAACTAAATTGCGCACTCCCAATGGGCAAAGCTTGAAAATCCAATTGTGTTCCAAATCATCAGGTCTTTCAATGAAATACTCTGACAGCATCAATTTGTCTGCATACTTTCTACGTCTCCTTCTGGCTCCCTCACAGACTCCCTCCATTGGTTCTTCTTCATCATTTGTCTCAGTATCAGAGAACAATTCAGTAATGCCACGTTTTTCATCAATGGATGCATTATGTCTGCTGAAAGTATTAAAAGGAATTTAATAACAATTCAAATTGCTTGGTGGTAGCATCTACTCTTTGACAGCTTTCAGGAGTGCCTTCCTGCGGTCTGTCTGTGTAGCTTTAGATCCTGCTGCTTTGTACAAATGTATATGAGATGAATAAAACTGGATATCTTCCAACGAACTGAAATAAGATTATATTACTATCATACTTGCTGTGTCCTGCTATTATGCTCACTTGGATTCCAAGCTGTTGCCACTCTCCATTTTCTTCATTAATATACTGACTGAACTTCAAATGTATTCCTCCACATATAGTTTTAAAGCAATTAATTTTAATCTATAAGTCAATATTTAAAACAACATTAAAAGGACAACACAGACATGATTGAAGGAGCGGCTTTTCCAGCACAAAGTCAATAACACATGCGCCGGCTTCCCAGCTTCCTACAGCACCAATTGTTGTCTATGTGCTCATTCCTGTGCCTAGGATTCACCGGGATTGTTGGGATAGGCTGGAACTGGAATTTGTTGTGTCTCGCTCTTTCTACATTATCTTATAAGACTCCATGTTGAAATCAGTAACGATTTTCAATATTTTGTGCTTTTACCAATAGAGGGAGCAATTCAAAACATTTACTCCACCATCACAAATATATTAAAGTTATCCAGTTTACTACAAAATACATCAATTTTAACATTTACTGATAGAATATTTTTCTTATGTACATTGTGTAAAGTCCAAGTCAAGTTTTCAACATATTTTCTATTACAACAGGGACAACAACCTTAACATTTGCATTTAATTCGTTCCGGAACTTGTACGAAGTTCCAAAATTAACGATTATTGAATAAGAAATAATGTACATTTATTTTCTCTACTTGACATATTATAAAATGTTTTTTTCGTGATAACGAAAAGTACAAGTTTCAGACCTAAACCACTGTAAATGTATCATTCAATGTTAATTTTATATATATATTTCATGTGCAATAGCAATTACCAAGAGCAGATATATTAATAATCATCTACAGTGTAGGTCTTACACAATCTAGTTAATTGGCTTTTCTTACTTTGTTATATATTCCATTTTAATTTATTGCTTTCTTGTTGATTATTGTGCTCAAAACCAGATTTCTGTTTCCCTTTTATCAATACCAAAAATGTAACTTTTCTAAGGTTTGATATATTGTCATCTGAATTATATTTATTACTAAATATTTCATGATATTTAATAATTATATTAGATACTTTCTAATTCGAAGCTTTCAACACTCGTATCAACGCTTTTTGAACTTGCGGCATAAGTATACTTGAAAATACACTTAAGAATGTCTGACAGTTTAAATAATTCGAATAAATAAATTACCATTAAATACTTGTATTTTATGTTCAAAAATGATGAGAATGATGTGGAATGTGATTATTAATAACATAAATATTAAGTATTATTGTACGTTGTTCATACGCTTGTTTCGTTCAATTGTCCTAATTTCCTTTTCAATTTCAAACCTACGCAGATCCGCTCGTTGCAAAAAGTCCTGACGCTCCAAATACCTTTAAAAAAAATAATAATTAATACGAATCTCAAGAAATTGCCAATATAAAACATATACCCGTCCTTTCCCTTCTTATATTTATCTAATTCCTCCTCAATTTTCTCTTCCTTCTTAAATTTATTCCAATCCAATTTGGATTTCTCTAGAGTGCTAATCTTCTTCTTCTTGCCAAGCTGATTTAATACTGATCCAATTCCTCCTAAACCACCACGCGATTTCGCCGGTGGTGCAGAACCCGATGCCGTGGATAATCTGGCCTCAGCCGAATCCGCCGCAACTTCCTTTTCGATTTTGACTTCCTCACCAGCAAACTCGAACACTTCCGTAATCTTCACCTTTGCCGGTTCGCTTTTACTAACCGGTTTCTCATCTGCGACCACCGATTTTTTTATTGGTTCGCTACTAGTGGTAGATTTCTTGTCGTCAATTGCTTTCTTCTTAAAACCTGTGTCTTTTTTAAAACTCGCCCACAGTGAATCTGCATGTTTCTTCTTGTCTTCCTCAGTAGCTTCTGACTTTTCCTGACTAGTCTTTAGGGTTTCTATAAAATTATATATATATATACTTTAAAATAAATCAAGTTTATGTCTGTATGAACACACCTGCATTGTCTTCATTAGCTTCTTCTGTTTTCTTTTTCTTCTTAGATTTGGAACTTTTCTTTTTGCGTTTTGCTCCACGTTTATCAAGGCTTTCTGAATCTGACAAAGGATCCTCTGGATCACCATCTGAGTCTACCTCAGAAGGTACATCAGCTGCTCCAGCTGGGACATAGTCTTCATCACTTGAGTCACTGTCTTCAGGAAAGTCAATATTCATTCTGAAAGCTATTTAAATATGAAAGTATGCTAACATTACTTATTTTAGTTGATAAATTTGAAAAATTAAAAATATTATACAGTTAAAAAGTTTTAGGGTTAAGTAATAGTACAATAACTCTGATTTAATAGAATAATTATAAAAACATTTTGTTTAAAATCAACTACATAAAAATAATAAACTTACTTTGTTATTTCAAGAAATAATTAATTAGTATTGAAATGATTTTGCCGGAGATTTCCACAGAACTGAAAACAGAAACAGTTTCAAGATCTAATAAATGCTTCATCAGTGTAGCCAACATTTAAATTTTCGTTAGAATTCTCTTAATTTGCATTAAAAGAAACTATTAAAGTTTAATATTATTGATTATATCCATATATCTGTACGTTTTGAAATAATAACATTTTAATTATTTATCTATATTTTTAATTAGTTTCTTTACAAATTGTGTCCATGACATATGGACTTTGACTTTTAGGAACTGTCAGATGTGACAGGTCATGGCGAATAATTTGTTTTTTTTTTCGTAACTGAAAAAGGCATTAATAGTTTATTTATTTTTTGAATTAAAAATGTGATTAGACAACTGCGGACGTGACAGAAGTGCCAGCAACTGAAATGTTTTTAATTTTGTGAGAGGAAAATATTTTTATTGACTAAGAGATAATTAAGAAAGCTAATGATGGACATGGGGACACCATCATTTAATAGTTATAGTGGCACGTGAAGGAAGGGCCCACAGCTGAGGTGACCATGTCCATGGATTCCCTCGGCACTGTGCTGGGGTTGCAATGCGATCCACTGAACTCCTTCACCAAGATGTGGTATCACGTCTTCCTGTGGGCCTTGTTCTCATCTTTTCTTGTACATGTAGTAAGTAATGTGTGTTGAGACATGTTGCAATATATTAAATGGCATTTGTATTTTTCAGATAGCAGCATCTATAGCTTTTCTAACGCTTAGGAAGCATAAGTTTGGTAAATTCTTTCCTATACTAATAGTTGTCATGGGGGTTGTGACTCCATTGATATCAGGAATAGTTAGTAGTGCAGCTATAGCTTCAGTGTATAGATTTTCAAGCCTACCCATGCAGCCATTGTATGCCTGTTTTTGGGGTGTTGGACAAACAGTGCTGTATTGTTGTGTAGGATTCACAAGAATACTGGCAACTCTATAATATCAAAAACGAACTATATAATAGTGACTAATTAATAAATTATATTTTTTAAATTAAGTGTAATGGTGCTAAGGGCATTTTATTGTAAAATAGATATTTTGTATTGTTGCAATGTCTTTTTTTAGAAACTCTTTTGTGTATATTTTTAAATTGTATATGAGGAAAAATGTATAAAGTACACTTTTAGTAGCATAGACAATATTTTGTATATATTGCACTTGTACAAATAGGATATTAAGGTACTTAAAAATAAACCTCAATAGTGCCCAATTGTCCAACTTGATGGCATTTATAAGAAATTGTAATAATTTTCAGCATTGTTTTGCATTTGAATGCCTTGTTCACAACACAATATTAACTTAAAAAAAGAAGAGAAGCAATAAAATTTAAAATATATTCTAAATCTGTTCGATTTTTATCACACCTTAATTTTAAATCTTAATATAGAAATTATCAATAAATTGTGTTTCAATTCAAATCAATTTTACCGCCATTTTATTTGTCAAATATCGCCAGCGCTTCAACTGTCAACCAAACGTCAAAATGTCAAATATGTATCCAATGTTTTTGTTCTGAGATTTTAAAATAATGGCAGAATCAACTAAGAGCTTTAATTCAGATAATAACCAAATTAACTTTACTTACAATGATGTGGCAAAGAAATTATTGAAGGATAGATTGCTGCTAACAGCCCTGGAGTTGCATACGGAGCTCTTGGATTCGGGCAAAGAAGTGAGGCAACTGAAAGACTTCTTCTCTAATCCTGGCAACTTTGAATTACACACACAGGAGTATACCTCAAGGATATGTGAGTGATTAGCTTAGAATAATAATTTGTTAATAACATTATTATATATTCTAGCAAGATCTGGTAGTCAAACAACATTAGATAGTTTAGATTTTACAAGATATTCAGAAGATGGTGAAAGGGGTGGTGATGAAAGGGTAGCTGTTCTTGAGTTTGAGCTTAGAAAAGCCAAGGAAACTATTAGTGCTCTAAGGAATAATTTAACTGTAGCAACAGGTTGGTGTTGAAATCTATTAGGTCTTATAGGAAAGTCATACTTTTCTATGTTCTAGAATCTGAAAAAAATTCACCTGACAAACAGTCAATAAAGTGCTTAAACTCAGATGGCATTAAACCACATGAAAAGAGAGCTTTAAATTTTTTAATAAATGAATACTTATTATTGCATGGATATAAACTAACATCTATAACATTTTCTGACGAGAATGAGGATCAAGTAAACACTCCATACAATATTACTTATTATATGTTAACACATGACATTGTAGGATTTTGAAGATTGGGATGATGTTGGTTTAAATATTGCTAAACCATCTGAACTATTGACTTTGTACAGGGAAGGTTTGAAGCAGACTGGGCATAATTTAATATCTGCTTTTAGTCAAACTGAATATACACTTAAAGAAGAAGAATATCAGGAATCCATTAAGAACTTTGTAAGAGGAATATATAAATAAATTATAAAATAATGTAATGTATGTCTTTAGAAACAAGAGATTGAATTGTTCCAAACCAAGTTGGACAATTTATATAGTGAGAATGAAAAGCTGTACAAACAATTGGAGACTAGTCAGAAGCAACCAAGTGTTAGTAGCAAGAATTCCATAGGCAGCAATTCCCCAGAGCATTTTGAAATTATTGATAAAAGCAATTTAAAACAAGAAGATAATTTAATTGAGGATGATCTCTCAAATAACAGTTCAAATCCATGTGATTGGACTCAAGTTAGTATTAACGTCAATGATGATAATCCTAAAGAACCATGCAAAGAAAACTTTACAAAAATGAATTTGATACAAAAGAGGTAAATAATGATATTTTAATAAATATTACAACAAATACGTATTTTATGGATTGTAGGTTGTCAATGAAATATGAGAAAGAATTGTACAATTTATGTCCAATCCATTCTGCAATTAATGTGGAAAATGAAGCATTGGAAAGTGTTTTGAAAGAAGTACCGAGCTTAGATTCTATTGTTAATGTGATTTCCGAATCAATGCTTAAGATAATTCCAAACATTATTCTGAATAAACGCGAAGAAGCTATACCTTTGCTGATCTGCGCTGTTCATCTTAATCCGAATTCCACGGTTCGAGATAAGCTTCTCCAACAGTTGTTTAATCTTAAAAAGAAACCATTGGATATAGAACGTTCTTCGATATTAGCTGGTATATCTGCAATAGCTAAATATACCAAAGAAACTGTCGTTGAGAATGAATTATTACCACAATGCTGGGAGCAACTGACACATAAGCATGTTGAAAGAAGACTGCTAGTCGTCGAATCTTGTCGAGTTTTAATTTCTCACGTTTCGGTACTTATAAACAAAACCAATTGTACTTGTATTTTTTTACATGTTTGTAATATTACAGGGACCTATAAGAAATTCGTTGATGTTATCAATGCTGCAACAAATGATGGACGATAGAGAAGAGATTGTACGTAAAGAAGTGGTTTGTGTTTTAGCGCTCGTTGTAGCCTTCTGTGATGATTTAGATAAGTATAGTCAGTGCGAAGATTTAGCTTTCGCTACGTTAAAGGATACCAGCTGCAATGTGATTGATAGTTCTATAAAAATATTGTTCCCTGTGCTCGCAAAATGGGCATTGGACATTGGTCGATTGAAGTCAGATTTGATCAAAAACCTGCTGCACAAATTAAACAATACTTTAAAGATGCTCAAGAATGAATCTCCGTCGAAAGCAATTCCATCACCAGAAATGGCTTTAAAATTAATACAAGTTATAAATGAACTGTTGCCTTTCATACTGATGTTCGTTACCGACAACGAAATTGTTTTGGATCGAGTGGAGACAGGCATGAAAATCGATCTGACACCAGAATTGTCGAGCGTTTGCTCTTCTGTTACAAATCCAGCAATTTTTTATGACAGTGAAGTAGATGTTGGCATGATTTTATATGAATTCGATAAATTGATTGGGGAGGATGATGATTGTAAATGGGACGAATTGGAATGGATTACCAACATTGTGTAAGTAGTTGAAATTCGATATAAATATTCGTTGAGTTCGGTTTTTATTTGTTTACTTGTAGTTTTCCAGATCTGCTGAATAGCTTAAATCACATAGACATAACGCAACATGATTTATTGCAGGCTTTCATAGCACTGTTCTCAAATTTCTGTAAAACCTTCGGCAAGGCGTTTTCATCGAAGAGAATTCGACCGCTGTTCCAAACGCACGTTCAGAATTTGGAGCAAATCCTGTCCAGCTTCAATCAATATTCGCCGAGTCTAAATATAATACCAGTATATTTGGTATCAGTTTTGAGTTTTTGCGATCCGGAGAGCGCCGGGAATGTGTTGCGAAGATTCCTGTGCGCTCTGCCTCTTTGCGGAACTCCGCTGGATTGCCTGGAGATCAGTGTTCGAGGTCTATGCGAATTGGGTTTGCAGGAGATCGTCGTTCAGAGTTTATGGGAAGGTGTCGTGCATCAGAAGCCGTTGGTCAGGGGTTTCACGGCCGGATTATTCGCAACAATCATATCCCTGTGCAACGAAACGCTTCTGAATTCAAAAGTTACACCGGCTCTTGTTACTCTGGCGAATGATAGCGATGCGTAATTATGACCTTAAAATGCTTCTTATTAGATTTACATACCTTATTTTGTTTTAGTTTGGTCAGAACTGCTACAATTCCAGCTTTGGGTGCATTGATCATCGATTGTTCAATGACCGAACTTCACGATAAATCGTATATGCAGCTGCAAATGTTTCTGTCGGATCCAGCTACCAAGGAGAACCATTCGTTGTTAAGACAATTGGTTGTGACTATGGGGAATATTGTAATCGGATGCAAACCAGCATTTAGACAAGATGGTAAGATTTATTCATTTATAATTTTATCTTGTTTCTTTTTATCAACATCAACTGCTAATAACCTCTATTCTTAAGATACTTCTATAAATGAAATCAAAGATGAATTTCTGTATATAGTTTGCATTACATGATTTCAATACTAGTTGAATATAATTAAATTCCTTTGCTCTTGAATCACGTAAATTTATAATTACATTTTGCTTTGATGTTAATAGAACTAATTTTATTTTTGAATGGAACCGAACTGAATAAAATTAGGAATTTATTTAAAAAAAAAACTCTATTTTTATAATAATGTTAGATTTATAAGAATTTTTTGATCGCAAATAGCATTAAATATAAATCTATATTAATTAAAACTGAATACACAACCAAAGTATTACAATAATTATTTTTATTAGTTAATGTAATTATTAATTTCATGTAAGATCGGAAAAACATCTTTTATTCGCAGAAACCTCATTCGGTCAAGCATCTGCATGGTTTCCATCTCGAATTAATTACTATCTATTTTAAATATAACTGGTCTATTATTTCTATACTGCTGCATGCATCCTTATATGCAAAACCAGTCTATCTGGATTATCTCTTTAAAAGTCTAGCTGATAATTATAATCTAAACATATTCAAACAAAGTATCTTAAGTTCTGATTACAAATGCTTTCTTTTGTTCATTACTACTGTATCCGTATTTGTCTTTTTAGTTTAGAATTACATTGATAAAACTAATCATTGCGTTGATATAAGTTATTGCAATTAAATTAATTGAGCATTAAAATAACATTTATTCTATGTTTTCTATTTTACATGCTACTTATTTTGTTTGTTTTGTACTATAACATGATTAATTTTAGTTATTTTGCCGCAACTAACATCGATTTCAATCTACATGTTTCAAACGCCTAGCCAGTCGAGGAAAGTAGACATGGCCGTGGCTTTGATCGAAGCCTTCTCGAATGTCACTTACAGTCCCTTAAACAACAATGCTATCAGCAATTTAGTTTTACCAGGATTAAGGTAATATTTTTGATACAATTTATGAATGTTTGTAACTTGATATGATCTTAGGTATTTGGAGCAGGCTGTTACTGAAAATCAAGCGTTGATGCCGCATCGCGAGGCTGTGATCACCATGATCAAGGAATGTGAAAACCGCGTCGACCTGACGTCTCCACAGACGCCTACGGATAAAGGCAGCAAGATTAGTCAGAATGTGAATCAAGGCGTTGAGGAGATGAAGCAGAGAGTGAGCAAGATATTCAATAAGCCTCCAAGTGGTAAACAAGCGAGTCTACCGAATTTGCAGAGCTTATTCAAAAAGAAATAATTAGCTTTAAGTTTCAACCGAGATTGAATTAACAATAATTATAATAATGTATTTTTATATTAGGAATCTCTTAGTCGTGCCTTAAGAATTTGTAGCACCTACATTATATATTGATAGCACATCTGGTTGTGTTTTAACATTCTTCTTATTTTCTTCTTTTTTTTTAACTTTTTTATGTACTTATATATCGTATATTTTTTAAAATTGAGATTATATTTATTATATTTATTTCGCAATAAAGTATATATATTGTTTATAGTTTACTGCTACCCGACAAGCTTTCCCTGACTAATTTGACTGCGTATAGCGAAGTGCCGGGAGCGACGGTAACTCCGTAACCTCCGTGTCCATAATTGTGCACGACCTTAAGTTTACTGCCGTTGCAGTTGACCAATTCTTTCTCGACTCTCACGGGATCCCTGTGAGGGCGAAGCCCGACCCTCTGTGCAACAAGTTTGGCGTTCTTCAGGCTCGGTAGTAAAGCCTCACATCTTTCTTTGATAGCCATGCCGTCGTACTTGTTAACAGACAAATCATAGGAATCGTACTGCCTACAGCCGCCTAGAGTCACGGATTCAAATCCTGGGATTATATACGTATCATAGTCGCCGTAGAAGAAGGTCTTTATCCATTTTGCCTCGACCTGAAAAAGCACGCAACGGTCATATGAGAATATTAGAACTTTTCGGTGTAAACACCTTTAGGACTTGACCCCGCATGGGAACAATTTTATAGTCGTTGCACAAGAATTTGGATCCGAGCCCGGTACAGTTAACAACGACGTCGTATTGATTTTGGAATTCAGAAAAATTCTCGATTTTTCTTGTAGTTATTTTCCCGCCGTTTGCAGTGAATCTCTTCGTTGCCCATGGTAGGTAACGGCTGCATTCAGTCAGGAGCGTAGTGAAGTAGGAGCCGTACTTCCAGTTTCCAGGGCATATGCTTAATTCCTCTTCGGTGGCCGATCGATAAATCGGCACGATTTTCTCGATGTAATGGTTCTAAAATTGAATCCCAGTCTGATAAAAAAAATTGTCTAATAATAGGGTCAAACGTAGTCTTACACGGACTAAACCGGGAAATTTGCTAGAGAATATGTAACCGGACATTTGGGTCACACCAGCATCCGGAGCTTCCGCAGTTTTTCGAATCTCGTCCCAATAGTAGTACGCATCGCTTATCCATTTCCTTGATTACATAACTATTACATTAATGGGTTGGGTGTGTTGGTATTGTAGCATTGCGTTACCGTGTTATATCTTCGGTGGGTCCACAGAAGCTAGTTCCCGGTCTGAAGAGGCCAGCAGCTACAAAGCTTGTAGTATCCTCGTAGAATTTATCCGCGACGACATCGATTTGGGCTTGCCTGAATTCCTTTTGGAGCTCGACCGCTGTAGTCAAGCCCACGACACCGGCGCCCAGCACTCCTATTTTCAGATCGGACATTTCGGAACAACTGACGAGTTCACAAAATATTTTTGTTTAATACTAATCTCGGATAATCTTTATCTGCTCCGCATACACAAAGGTCAATAATGTCAACTGGATCGATTCCACCTCTTACTCAATACAGCCGAAATCATTGTAATTATGTAATTGGCATTCGCAATTAATTACTCGCGATTCTCATACGCATACAAACGATTATTTAAGTAATTTATCAGAGGAAGCGACGGACGCACATTTAATTAAAAATAGATTCCATAATCGCCCTTGAATCCAGTTCACCTTCAAATATATTTATTTACATTAAAAGATTCAAATAATCATCTATAAATCATTCAATGGCGTCCGAATGTTCATATTATAAAGTAAAGATTTATATCAATTGTAAGAAGAAAACAAAGCTGGGAAATTGTTGGGTTTTAGCTTTATTGAAGCCATTTATTATCGTCAAAAACCCCAAAATAAAAAGGTATTTTGGGTGACGCAAATTAATTTTAGCTACAAATAAAAATAAATGCTAAATATGTATTAATGTATGTATAATTTGTTTGGAATGCTTATAAATAAGCAAAAATAACGCAATTATTTAATAAAGATAGAATTAGGAAATATAAATAGGAAATTCTTTACAGTTCTTCAATTCTAAAATAAAAATCGGTAAAAAGTAAATCATATTTTCTGTATATATTACTTTTAGCATTTAAAGAATTTACACAATTTTCAATATATAATAATTGTCCAATTAATACAAATATTGGTGCTTTCAACTAGTTTCATTTTGTTTCAATCTTTTTTTTTGTTATGTTATGGAGCTGCTTCGCTGATTACTTGCTGCTACAGTCCTCTTGCTACACATATTTAGTAGACATAAAATCTACAGTCACTCCTCAGCTAGAAAATAGTTTCAAACAAATATAACAACAGCAATGAAACGTAAAAAAATAAAAAGGTTGCTCTTCGTTTTGTTGTAATTAAATATTTATATGTATAAAAAAATAATAAGTGATTGAATAAATAATAAATGTAGAATGCCAAGGAGTACACAGAATATTGTCTATTTTAAACACATACATCACAAATTTACCTATATGATAAATCTATATATACAAGAGACAATAACAAAATAAAAAGGCCCTGTTGAACCGGATTCAAAACAAACATTTCAATTTATTCTTTTATCCTTTTGTTGAAGTCAAATTGGAAATGAAAATAAAAAGAATTTGCATACAGTCATGGAGATTCAGTTTGGCGCGTTTAGCCATGGATGTTGTAAGCATTGTGCAGCTGTAGCACGCCTGTCAGGATCAAAATCCAACATGGGTTTCAGGAAAGCAGCAAATTCCTCAGCCTGTTTACGGTTCCATTCATATTTCTCAGTTAATACATCTTCTAAACACCAAGGCTTAAGTCCTGTTATATGCTTCAGCTCAGATTTTTTATTGAAGAACAGTTTAGAGTTTTTCCCCAAAATTGTTATCCTACGAGGAATTTCACCTAATAATTCAATTATATGGGCTAAGTGGTCCTCATCCCTGCTGTAATCTTCTCCAGAGTGAGGTTCAAATAAATAATCACCAGTGGCCAGTTCAAATGCCATGCAGGCAGTGCTCCAGATATCAGCAGATGTGCTGTAACCAGCTCCCAATAAGACCTCCAGAGATCTGTATTGGCGAGTTTGTATATCTTCTGTAAAATGTCTGTCCACCCAACAGGCATTACCTAAATCGGCGATTTTTACCTCAAATTCACATTCAGTGAATGCTGGGTCAGGTTCTGGCTGTTTCGGTTCACTCTTTAAAGTAACTGAAGGTGAATCATCCTCAGACATGAGTGTGGCTGAATTATCTGTTGGTGATTTTGGTTCTTGATTATCATCACCACCTCCCAGTCCTAATTCGTCTCCGCAACCATTTGGCAATTTACTCTCATTCTCTGGGGTACTTTCTGGACTAGGACTAGCTTCCCCATTGCATTCAGCAATCTCTCCATTAATATCACCATTCTCCTTCACCTTCTTCTGCTCATCCAACTCATTGATTTGTTCCATTTGTCGCTTGAGAAGTTCGTTTTGGCGTTTGGCTTTCTTCTTCATTTTCTTTTTCTTATTTTTGCTCATTTTTATGTTGCTTGGTGTTTCTTGGATGGGAGCAGTGCTGACAAGGGAGGTGGGCAGTTTTAATCCGAGCTGGCGCATCTCAGCTGCCTCACAAGCTAGCTTGCGAATATACTCCTCACTGACACAGATGAGGACATTTTCTGGTTTGATGTCAGTGTGAATAATTTTGCATTTGGTGTGTAAATAGTCGAGACCTTCTAAGACTTGCCTCATAATAACCTTAACATTGGCCCGGGGGATGCCATTGTAGTTGGACTTGATAATCAGTTTGAGGAGATGGTGCCCAAGCACCTCAAAGACCATGCAGACGTGAACGCCGTTTACGCCGCTGATTTTGAAGTCGTTAAGCAATTGGACCGTTTTGTTCCTCTTCGGATCTTCCGGATCGGACTCGCGAACGGACTTGAGGATCTTGATCTCGTCGAGAGCGGTTTCGGTGAAATGCTGGGCTGACTTGACAATTTTGAGGGCAACGAATCGTTTATCCTCGATGTCCCAGCATAGCCAGACGGTGCTGAAGTGACCCCAACCAAGTTTCCTGAACACATGGTACCGACTCAAAAAGGTGTCACCGATTTTGACGGGATGATAACCCCCTTTGCGGTAGTCGGTGCTGTCCTCCTGCTCCTCCTCTTCCTCGCTCGAATATTGGCCGTCGGCATCTTCGATCGTCTCGTTGCTGGAACTGTGCGACGGCTCGAATCGTTGGTTGTTGCGATTGCCGGCCCCTTGTCCATTTAGCTCGTCGTTTTTGCCCTTCTTCTTGCCAGGCTTATGTCGTTTCTTTTTTGCCTGTATCGCTAGCACTCTCCTATTCACGTCGGATTTCGAGCTCATTTTCACTTTCTCCTAATTGTAAATGTACTGTATCAAAAATAACGAAACTTCACGGATATGTCAAACGGATATTTGCATCATTTTATCGCGAACTCGCTTTATTATTTATTTGATTATGGCGGACGTTTCTAGACACAATAAGCAAGGTAGGCACTGGCACTGGATTGCACTGGATAGTTAGTTACTGTTGGTTCCCGCACCGCACGCAACCCATCATCACGGCACCACCGTCGAAACCACCAACCAATTCACGCCGTCCCACCGACGCCACCGGCGTTGCCGCTGGTTGCCGCCATCGCGAATCTGGACAAACCTAACGCGGCTAAAAAATAATGCTAACTAAAAAAACCACCATTTCCTTTCTTAATTATGTCATCAAATAAAAAGAAAACCTAAACTTATACGAACTTTTATAAGCTAGTTATCGATCGGCGTCCCATTACACATATTTCGTGGTTTTATATTTCCAATTTTCGTAATTCTTATCACTTCCTCCGAACCAATGTTACCAACCAATATGCATCACCTGACCACACATCTTGCGGAACACTTAATTAACATCTATTTAAGTAACACTAGATCATGATATAAAATAATTTAATTGCATTATTTTCTTGCCAATTAATATGCTTATGCACATTGCATACCTGTTTCATTGGAAGTATTCTAAATTTGGCACGTGGTTCTGTCAGGTTGTTCTATGTCAACATTGAACAACAATCGCGAATTTAAATATTGTTTAAATATTTAAAATCCATTTTTCCAGACTTATGTTGAAAAAAATACATTTTATATATAAAAAAATAGTAATTTGTAATTTCAGAGTCAAAAACCCAACTGAAGCCAATTTTCCTTCTTGCACACTTTATGATCACGTGCTAGCATCATAAAAATATAATTACAATTTTTCTATACTCAATACAAATATTATTTCCAAAATAATGGTCAATAGGCCATTATACATGTATTTTCATATTTATTTTCTAATGTTATTATTGAAATAATTGAAGATACTGTTAATATTCATAACATTGTAAAGCAATTGTAACCTGGAAAATAACATAAATGATTAGAGTATTTATATAAAAAATATATGTATATAGTGTATATTAATTAGCAAATAATAAATTAATTAGTAGACACACAAAAAATAATGGCCACCATCATTTGGTACAAAATTTATTTGTTGTGTCCAACCACTAAATTATAGGACTATGGCATATAAGACCAATATGCAGAATAGGCAGATCCCACGGAAGGCAGTGACCGTTTGTAACATTTCTTCGTATTATCAACTGATAACCAAACTGTAGAATAGACAGATCCCGCGGAGAACAGCCACCCCGTCCGTATTAATAAGATTTAACTTTGTTAGTACATTAAGTATTTAGAAGTATTCTGAGTAAAACTGAGTTAAACATGAACATAGTATTATAAGAATCTTAATATGATGAGCATAGTCACAGATGAATCTTAAATCGACCAAGTAACAAATAAAGTTATATAAAACCAAACGAATTTCATTAAATTCCCAACAACTGAGACAAATCACAGTGTCCCAAAATCCATCCCTGGGATACGACATATTACATAACGTAAAATCTATACTAATTGGAATAAACCAGTTTATAATTGTAGTGAGAAAAAATATGAAAACCGAGAAGGAGACATTAAATATTTATAGTTTGTTTTCCTTTGGAAGCTGGATTATTTATAATAGTTCTAAGGAGTACAAAATAAACGAGATTACCATTTTTTTGTCAACAAAAATAATCATTACTTCCTCTTTAAATACCTAATGTCCATGTAATCTTTTCCTCGACGTTTCTTATATACGTATTGTGTTTATAATGTTAAAATTAATCTTCTGGAGCAACTCCTTTCCAAGAGTTATTTTTATCTGTATTTGAGTTTATGATCCTTCCTGTCTAGCCAATAAATTATTATTAGGGTGGAAAGACCTAAGTCGATAGTCTTTTCGTCAATATTTGATCAATAAATATGCTAAAATACTGTATATATAGATATCACTATGTAATAAAAAGTTTTTATAAAAATAGTAATAATTAAATAAATAATAAAAAAAAAATAAATTTTAACATTACAAATTAATAAATTTGATTTAATTGTTGCTGTTTCTATGGTTTTAATTGTAAATTAATATTTCCTTTTTTTAAAGAGATTTATATCAATTTATTATTGATATAAATCTCTTTTGGCCCTAGGTCTATTACTTTCGGGTTTATAGGCCCCCACAGTTTGACTCCACCCACGGTGCCTATGTAAGGTGTCCTCTTCTCTACAAAAAAAGGCCCCCACAGTTTATGTTGGCTTTTTGGAATCGAACTAACGACCTTTCGCATAAGTTTATCGTGATAAGGCCAATCCAATATTACTGTAATTACCATGTATGTCTTTTGTGAGCTTTACTTTTAGATGCTTTTTTTAGTATAATCAAATTAATTATTAAATATATAAGAAAATATATTCTTAATTTAATTCCATTTATTAGGGATAATTTTTGGGTCCTGTTTTGCTGCTTTAGTTGTTGTCAACTTATATCGGAAATTGCAAACAATGTGTATAATAGCTACTTTCTCCAACTTTCAATAAGATATGCTTAAACCCATGATTGGCAGTATTTGTCTTTCTACATTGTTATTAGAGTTTACTTACTCTTATCTGCGTATTTAAGTGATCATTACTCAGATTTTTAAAATACAATTATACTATACTTTTTAAAATATCAGAAAATACTTTAATTAGTGTTATTCTCTGGAAGAGTTAGCATACGAAGCCGTTGGCGGTCAACCTTCTCGATAACGACGTGACAACAAGAAGATTAAAGCATTTCAAGCCCTTGGATCTTCAATTTAGATTTAACTAAAGAATAAATAAATATTATATACAAACGTTATGGAATGGTGCCACTGGGCAGCAACTTCATAATGTCAACAGCGAACAGATTTGATAAATGTTCAGTAGAATAGATTGTAAATAAAAACTGACAAAAAATTAGTGTTCTTAACATTTTAATAGTCACAGCCCCCTTAAATCTTAAAATACAGTCGCGCAATAGGTATAATAATGCAAAATTGAATCATTTGAATCCATTTACAAAGTTTCATTTTCAACGTTTCTATTTTATCTCTCATGGAAATCATGTTGTGTTGATTTTCTTAAGATAAATTTAGTTTGTTTAGAATGGAGAATTTGTCTGCCAAGTAAGAAAGTTTTTAATCCATTTGTTAGTCATGGCCAAATTTGATTTTTTTTTTATCATTTAGAAATATTTCATGGCAATTTGACAAATCCGTAATGCAATTAACAGAAAATGCTTTATCAGATTGTCAGTAATTAAAATAAGCAGTTAAATGTATATTTGCCATAGTTAAGAAATCGTAAACCTAGACTTATAAAATTTGTAAAGATATCAAAATTTAGAAAAGGTTTCTAATATTTTAAGTATCACTGCTCTAATGTACACTGACTATAATGGCTAGTAGAGATAATTAAATTAAAAAAAAACTATTAAATGTAATTAAATACATTGTTTTGATAAAAAATGAGGAATATTGCATTTGATCCTAAAATAAATATGTTTACAAATAAAGCACACGTGAAAAGAACGTAGAATCTAGCTTTAATAAAATATAATTTATAGTGTCAAACTTGTCTATTTGAACAAAATAAATTTTAATTATTTGGGGTTGCTATGTTTGAAAATTGTAAACTAAGACAATAATCATTCAAATCTGGGATAAACTAGGACAATGACTGTTGAAAAAAGGAAAATAATAGTTTATTTATTATAAATGTATGATAAATATAAATTAATATGAATTTAAAAAATGCCGGAACTGAATTGTTTTAAAATACAATCCAAATGAATGCAAATTATATAACTGTAAAATATAATGTAAAATTTTCAATATTGTTATATATTCAATCAACTAAACAAAATCGACATTACATTATGTATTTTTCTATATTTTTTTGGTAATCAGTTGGATTTGCACTTACACACTTCAAAGTATAGTAAAATAGAGTAAATATATAGTAAATAAGAAACACGTTGTATGTTTTTTAATTATTAATTTGGATGTAATTTTCTTTAAATATTATTTATTATATATAACAAAATATTCCTATCAAATACATTTTTGACAAGGATATGAGCACCTTCCTTTCACTAAAATAGAAATGTCTTATCTATGAAATTTCTATTACATAAAGCTAAAAAAATACGAGTTAGAAATGCTTTTAAACCGTGTGAAAAAGATACATTCATGATATTTAAGTAATGTATCTTGTACATTATCAGTAGTATAGTTCCACTACATAAATTATTTGATAAAAGGGATAAGGGTTGATGAATATTTTTAAGAATATAATACTCATTATTGAACAAATTTTATTGTTGTTGCAAATTGTTTGGAAAATGTATAGAATATTTGTGTAATAGCTTGTTTTTTATACTAATAATATCTTTTATAATATAAGTGAAGGAAAGGGAAGATAAGTTAAGGATATTAAAGGGACATTAGTGTGAGGTAACGGCAACGTTGCGGGCGCGGTATTTAAACCACTGCAGTTTACATAGAGCTGTCAGAATTTGGAGGGAAAGCAGACAGTGAACATCTACAGGCTTGGTTAAAGTTTTCTCTACAATTCCCTTTAAACACGTTTTTATACAAGATGGATCAACAACCTTCTGTAGCTAGTTTTTTCCAGACGAGGAAACGTACATCTCCTGAACAATTGAAGACTAGGGCAAACAAGGTTTTAGTATTGGACAGTGAGGATGGATCCAAAGGGCCTGCAAGTCTTCAGTTTATTTGTGATGCTGAAATTAAAAATATGGAAAGAAATGTGAGTGCAAAAGACCATAAAGTTAAGTTACAAAGTGAGAGGAAGAAACAGCTTAAAGCAGCTATACAGAAAAAGATTAAAGATAGTAAGAATCAGCCAGTTCTGCAAGATCTTTTTATTAAGATGGTACAGAAAAATGATTATGTGAAAATGGATGTTGATCCTGAGGAACATTTGAAGACTCCACCTGCTAGCCCCACAAAAAGGATTAATTTAATGGACAATTTGAGAGAACCAACTCTTAAAGATATTAAGGATAAGATTACCAAAAGCTCTCGTTTGGCTGATCTTAAAGCTTCCTTGGCCAGATTTAAACAAGGCCAAGATAAATTGGACAAGAAACCTGAAGCAAAGGGAATTAATTCTACAGAGATAAGGTAAATATGCAAAATTTAAATTTTGGTGCTAAATATCTAATATATATCTTTTTATAATTTGCAGTACCAAGAAAGAACAAATTGCCAATACACTTAATACAAGAAAAGAAAGTGTAGCTAAGAAAAGCTTATTTAGGACCAGATCTTCTGAGAATTTAGTGGATCAGAAAACATCTTTTAATATTCCTTACAAGTATCGGACATTGGCTGAGATCTTCAGAAGCATAGATACTGTCTGCCAAATTATGCACAATAGAAAGGAAACAATCACTTTTAGGCATTTGAAACCTGCATTGGAGGAATTGCTTAAAAAGAATGTGAAATTATCTCATTTGGCTCAGTTAAAGACCTTGTATCCAGAGGCTTATAATTACAGACAGGAAAAAATAAGATCCTTTGGTGCTGGAATCAACCAGGAGAAGTGGGAACTTGTTATTGTTCCTAATGTTGAGGAATCTATGACATCACAAGTTTTGCTTGAACGCAGAAGGAACTTATATAACATAATTATTGAGAAGATAAAGGTTTTGCATGCACAATTTTTACTAACTCTAAGTCCGCCAATTGTTATTGCCAAGGAGAATCTGAAACGTTGGCATCCAGAGTTTGATATTGAAAAGATTGCTGACGTCGAGCTGGCAGATTTACCGGAGGCTCCATATGAAGAAAAGTTATCTACCGGAAAGGAAGTTTTAGAAAAAGTTAAAGCTATGTTCAATTGCAATACTCGTATGGAAACAGCTTTGGATAAGCTAAAGAAAGCGCAGGAAACAGATGTTGAAAAACCGAAAGTGTTGACTTCTGTTCTGAAGGGCATCCCCAAAGCTCTTCTTGAGAAAGTTAGACAAAAGCAAGCAGCCAAAGCTCTCGAAGCTATGACAAGATGCGAGGCTACAGAGAAGGAGCTAAAAATGTATGCAAGACTTCCAGAATTGGTGAAATTGACACGGAATATATTTGTAGGTGAAAAGAAAAGCGTTTTACCCGTTGACACAGTTTTAGATAAATTAGTAAATAGTGTGCGCACTTATATGCATAAACCTGACATCGAAAAACATCTTAGAATTATTGCGAAGGAAGTTCCAACTTGGATGGTCTTCCATACGGTTCGAAACGGCGTTTTCATCAAGATTTTAAAAGACGCCAATATTATGCGTGTTTGTGATAGTTTGGCAGAAGTACTTAAGCAGAAGAGGAGTGCAAAAGCTTTATGAAATTAATTCCTTTGTTATTATAGTTTTATTTTATGTTTGAATTCGTTCGCATTTTTTATTTCAATTTTAAGATTCTTGTACGTTCAGCAAAAATATAAATTATTTACACACATATATTTTTGCACTGTTAAAGCGTTTTAGCATTTTTAAGTATGTCACTGTTGAAATTATGCAACATGTAAACAAGTTTCTTTTAATAAACGTTATAAGTAAAAATCGTTTGTGACGGACTGTTCTATTTCCACCAGGATGTTATATAAGCGTTTCTTGGTGTCCTCGTCCGGCGATTCTCTAGGTTTTCCCGGTTCGTTTTTCGGATTCGCACATTGTCTGAGGATGCTGGCCAATTCGCTGGGTGTATCTGGTGTCATCAGTAAACCAGGTATTAAGACGGTATTCGACATTCGCCAACCCAAAAATATTTTCTCGCAAATTATTTGCAAATTGTTGTTCGTTACTTTCCTCGAGCATTTGTTAATGCTCTTGTGACACCTGGAACGACAGTCTAGGAACTCGCAATCCTCGTCGCTATTGCAGCCGTCCGTGTCTTTAATCAAATTGTTTATTGCCGATCTGGGATAAACACCAACCAAATCGATGAATTTTAGTCGGGATCCGCCTTTGACGATTCCAAAGTGTTCTAGCTTAATATCACATAAATGGAACGGCTCCTGGAAGCCGTTTTCCATTTCCTCGATCAATTCTATTATTTGAATAGCAGTACGGAGTCGCACGCTCCATTCCTCTTTGTCTTCAGCGAAGGAAAGGATCGAGGAAATTCCTTGGATCGGATCCATGTACTCTACAGCGAAATAAGGCCCGCATGTTCCCAGCAGCTGAGGGAATATATCTCGTTCAGTAAAAATATTCGATAAAAGATACTCATTGTCTTGGAGTAGAACCCAAATGTTGTCCATTTCCTTTTGCCTCTTTCGAACATCACTTTCTACATAATTCGGTTTCAGTCTAGTCAATCTTACAGCCGTTTCTTGAGGCAAGGTGATGTTAAGCTTGCTTTTAACTATAGCTTTAGCAGTGGCAAGAAACTCACGCTCTGAAGGATACTTGAGGACTCCATTGTCATACCAGTGCAGCTCCTGTACATCAGAGGAAGCAGTTTTGAAAACCAGTCTGGTTTGATGCCATTCCCCACTAAAAACAGCCTCTTTCGTCGATTTGAAAGAGTGACAAGTTAATGTGTGGATTGCGTTATTCGTGCACAACGGGGCGCATATAGAGCCAACAGCCTTGCCTTTATCAAAGAGATCGCACTGAAATTTTTACAGAATTATTTATCAGCTACCAAAATTCACAAATAAGAATGAGAGAAAAAACTTACTATTCGATTAACGTGGATCCAGGTTTGTGCATTTGTGCAAATGAAATTCCATCGGAACAGAAGATAAACTATGTAGAATAAGATTAGAATAAAAGTGGCAATCGTGTATCTATGGAAATAAGCAACGGCCGGCAGCCTTCGGAAATTGATCATGATAGCTCTCCTTCTTCACCTACTGTTATAGCATTTTGTGGATATTCTGTGATTATGTGCGGGAATCATGTGTTCTGGTGCAAACTGACACACGTTGCGCATTGCGTAAGCGTCGCGACGCCGGCGTCGTCCGTCTATTAATTATTTCTATGTAGGCGGTGGAAATTTCGAAATTCCGTCAAATTTCAAGCGGGAAATATCACTTTCCATGAATACTATCGTTATCGAAACGATAAAATTATGTTACTGTTTAATTATCTTGAGCGATTCACGTTGCATTCGATTGAGTATTTAATACACCTGAAGCTGCCTACGATTTATTATAATTCATTGCAATCACCTGTTATTTGGTGGTAAGTACATTTCATTTTAATAATATTAACGAAACATAACTAATTAATACACAAAACAACTATACAAACTAAGAATTTAACTTCAAATAAGTATGTTTTCTAATATTTTAACATATAGTACTTTTATAATAGTAACGATGATGTTTATTTCATATTAATCTGTTTAGTTTTAATTGGATTGATAATTGCGGTTATTATTTATTACTTCAAGTAGCAACTTACTCTAAGTAACTTCTATTTGATAGCTAGTGTTAACTTTTAATGCTAAATTTTAATCCCAAAACATAAACTTTATTTGTTACCTTCTCTGTTGAAATAATAAAATTTAAATTATGTTAAACATATGGTTAAAAATAATTATTATATTTATAGTGTTTTTATGAGTATTCTGCTGTCACATTATATAACAATCGTCTATTTGCAAAAAGTATACTGTTGAGTTCGTGCATTGTTGTGCTACTTACTTGATCGTCACTTGTTTTTATTACCTTCGATCAACAAATATATGTTACTATTGCTTTCTCAATTGCGTAATGCGAGTAACGTATTCAAAATTGAAAACGTTGCATTAAAAGTTCCTGGAATCATCTGTTTTCTAATTACATTTATTGACATCAGAAGCAAGTAATAACTGCAATATTTGTTTCTATAAAAGCAATTAAATTATATTGCACTTTTATAATAGACGTCTGGGTATTCTAAAAATACTAATAATTATATAAACAATAAATTGAATAATTGATAATTGTTTATGAACAATGCGAATTATTAAAAGTATATTATTTTTTACAATAATTGAATTTAATTATTTTATCAAAATTTTGATAAAAATATATCAATTATTTATGTTAGAAAGGCAACTGGTTTCAATTATTAAAAAAATCGTGTAGTCAATGGAATTGTTGCTTACTATCAAACGCTCTTCAATCTTATGTTTTGTAAGTATGTGAATTTCAAGTATTTATCTTAATTCTTATTAATTTCTATCATATTTAATTTTTTTTGAATGATCTTTTTATAATATAATTGATAAGCAATTTGAGTATCGAAATATAATTAACTAGACTAAATATGACATCTGATGACACATTATTTGATGATTGTTATAGTAATGATATCTTATGTAAACTGTAAATTGGATTTGTTAATATGTTCATTAGGACTTTCTTTTGCTTTTAACTGTTCAATTCGTTGATTTACACCATCTAAGTCGAGTGTGAACAGTTGAAAAAAACTTATTATTTCAAATGTGACGCTAGATACAAAAACTTTATTTCCATAGATAACGTTTTTAAATAGAAAAATCTGTCTTATGAACAAACAAGTTGGCCATCCTTGTCAATATATAATTTATAATATTTTAATTCCCAAAAGTATGTATTTATGTATTTACTATTTTTTTAAATTTTGTTTCTTGGGAAATAATAATAATAAGTTTAATCATAATTCAAATACATGCTACTAATAGCAAATAAAGTCAGTCAATAAATAGTAAAGTTTACTTTAGATTTTAATATTTATTTCTATCGAATATTTTTGCAATTGGTGTAAACTGTTCAGACAATTTATTTATTATTATTTTATCTTTAATCTCAAATACTCTGAAATAAATACCTGTTTTTTTTAATGCATCGCGAAATGATAGATGTCACTTGTGTCAAAATAATGTACTGGTGCAATACTTCTATCAATTGGGTTGTACAGTACAACTACTAGCAAATATGTCGGGTCAGGTTGAGAAACGCTGCTCTGGATCTTCATATGAAATCCATATATAAATTTAAATTATCTTATTGTATTAAATATTTTACATTTAATAAACAAAATATATTTATTTAACTCTTTGAAGAGATACACATTGTCCCACCTTTTGAACATGCCTAGTGGGACATTATTATATTTTTTTAGGAAATGTCCAGGAAAGAGGAATTATCCATTAATTTGGTTGGTATGTCAAAGGATGAATATTGATGGTGATTCAGATGTCTAGAAATTTGTAGAATCTAGAAATTAAGTCAATTTAATGAAAAACATCTACAATATCTTGTTGATTCACAGATAGGAAATAAAAAGTCGCGTAATAAACTCGGGATGGGAAGCATTCAACTAAATATAAATATCAACATCTGGTAATATTCACAGTCGATATTTATTTATACCTTGAGTCCTGTATTAAATCGAGATATTTGCTAAATACCGTCATGTTTCTGGTTCTTCGAAACTTTGTTTTCATAAGTAACTTGATATATATTGCGTACTATGTCTGGGTATGAATAAAACTCGATAAATTAGTATTTGCTTAACTAGTAATGAACAAGTTTTAATAATATAGCACTGATTATTCGGGTTTCAATTGTCCGTGGTTTGGGTTAACCGTTGTCGCGTCTGCTTTAGTGGTTACTTTTTTTTATAAGCTAAACAATAAAATTGTCTTTCTAAATCTGCAGTTTAGTAACTTTAGTAGTTTTTACAAGGACAAGAATAAAATGGAAATGATTAAAAATGTATTTTTGTAAAACAATACATAGCTAGTGTTTTTCAATTATTCCTGCTTTAATGTTACCGAATTACTTGTACTACGTCCAGCTTCATTAATACATATATCTTTCATTTAGTTTTGTCGAATCTACAACGTATACCTAAACCCCTTCTATATTATATAAACTTTAATTGAACAAAATAAAAATAAATTTGTAAAAAATAGTACACAAAATTATTTTTTTATTCATAAATCATAGATTTTATACAAGTATATTTTTGTGCGGTATATATTTAGTTCCTCAATTAGTCTTGTTTCAGTCCGGGATCTTGTCGAAAACGATTACCCGGACTATATTATTATTAAATACTTTCCTAATTAATAAACGGAAATAGAGCATTTTTAGACTTTGCTTCAAATTATCATTAATGGCGAAAGTACCAAACGAGAAATTATAATCTTTTAATGCTTTTATTTTATGATTCATTTGAAAATGTAATTGTCGTTATTAATTGGTTAAGTTAAAACTAAAAGACAATACAAATATCTTAGAAAGTAATTTTGATTACATCTTTATAATAGGTGAAGGAAAAAGTACTGATCGTTTTTCGTTACATGGCTTCAGTGAGATATATCTCACGATGAACATTGCATATTATTATTCTATACTGCGACTTAAAGTTATTTGACAGTTTTGTGTTTAGTGAATCCAGTTGTGTGTTAGAGCGTTCCAAAATGGAGGTAAAAAAGAGAAAATTCTATACATTATTCTGCACAATTACGCGGAGCAGGCGGCCAAAAAAAAATTGTGTTGTTTATAGATCCAATACAGTATCGAATGCAACAATAATATTAACACAACTTCTCCAAGACTTTAAAAAACATTCCTACGCAACCCCTCAGTGATGTAAAACATTCTTCCTACGCTTCTTTAAGTGCATCTATATTTGTGTCCTCGCTCAGTTCATTTATTTCATTTGACTGTACTCTGTTACTAATCTTTATTTCTGCTCTTTTGTCTATGTCTATTCGGCTGAAAGAGGCTAAAGCCCATAGCAGTCTACATTTAATACCACACCCTATATAATTGTATTACAAATATGTAAATAAAAATTTAATAAGAAGAAGACAATAATATGAACGTCGAAGATGAGACATTTCTGGTAGGGTTTGATAAAATAATGGGAATTGTCGAGCTAGACCGGTATGCGAGCACATATTCCATTGCCCAGGATCTGAAGATTAGCGAGAAAACCGTTTGGAACCATTTGCATAAGGCTGGTCTCTCGAGAAGCTCGAAGTATGGGACAAAACGCTCAGAATTTTTTATTTCATTTATTAATATAATTCGAGTCATAACAAAATATTTTCGTTGAATGTTTAGTGATGTCTAGCTTTATTGTATAGACCAAATCTATTTTGAAAAAAGTGTTTATATGAAATTTTTGGTATTTACCATTACTATTTTAATTTTTGAAACAAATGTAGATGGAAAAAATAAAACTATTTTGCTATTTTTGAAATTAATTATATATTATTGTTAGTTTTGGGTAAAGTTGGGTTAAAGATTTATATCAATATTTCAATATCTTTTGTAAAGTTTGATTGTTTCCAAGTATTTCAAGAGAAATCTGGTTTAGATAGTATTAAGTTAAATTAGTCACCTTCTGTTGTCCTTTTGAATGCCGAGGAAGAAGACTGAATGGTACTTTAAAAAACAAAACGATTTAGTAGTTTTGTAGTAGCCAATTAATTTGTTATTGTTTATTGAGAAGAACGACGTGCCGAATGCCGTTTAGCGGGTGTTCTATAAATAAATGTCGGACATCTTTTGTGGCTATTTTAGAAGCAGAAACTGTTGCATCTCTCGCGAGATGCTGCGAGAGAGAGAATCGCGATCATATTATAAAATTATGTCGGCAGGAGAAGAGAGTGGGGCAAAAAGGCAGTCCGTTCTGCGATGCTTCGTTCGCCAGTTCGACCTTTCTTTACCCTTGTGAACCAAAACCTCTTGTGTTTTTCCAATTTCGACCACCTTTTCGAGAGCCGGGCGTCTCGACGCACCTCAACCTAAGAAACTTCTAGTCCTGCGATACTCAGTTTTCGGTGTCAAGATCGGAGAGATGCGCTAACAATTTCAAAAACCAGCAGCAGTTCTCACTAAAACTTTTCTAATCCTGCGAGGCAGCATTGAGTGTGGTCGTGATTTACTCACAATAGTATTTAGTAAATATTTACGGGGGCCAAATTCGAGTACGTGCCTCTCCACTAATCTCAAATAGACTTAAAATTAAATACTCGCTCACTGAACGATTCGATATATATAAATTAGTGTGTTGTACGCGTTGGTCTACGCGAGTCTACGTGCCGAAGACACCAACTGATTGAACTAATTAGAAGATCAACTAGCCAATCATACAACTAAATTGGTTCGCCAATTATTTTTAGACTCGCATCGAAATATGATTGCAATATTTTAATGTAAGATAAACGCTGGAAAGGTGGAGCAAGATAAACGCACTTATCATCATCGCAGGCAGTATTGTGAAATTCTTTGGCCTAACTTATAGCAGCCAATTAGTTTGATAAGGTAAGTACGTTCTGACTGGTATCTTTCACATTTGCGCAAAACAATCAATAAAATTAGGTTTACGAACGTCAACCGGGAACGCGCCACTCTGGACGTCAGAGATTTCACTTAAATTTAGACGAAATTTTTGGAAATTAATCAAACTAAACTTTTCTGTTTCATAATATTTTATATCGTGCATAAATTTGTTGAAAAGTAAACACTTTCACGACTATATTGGAATCATTAAACAATTTATAAACGTATATTTTCATATAACAAAAAAACATTTATATAACTTTTATTATCTAATTACCATATTTTTGGATACAGCGAAGAAAAATTGACTTAGGTCTTTAAAATTTAGGGTACCTTTTAATAATTTGGTAAATAAATGAATAATAGTTAATTATTTAGAAGCACTTTTTTTATTTTTAATAATTCAAATTAAGAAAATTATTATCATTGATAATTAAATAATTTTCAATATATCACAAAGGTATTCATGAAAATTTAATTAGTTTAAAATAATATTAATTGGTATAAATAATTAACAGTAAGTTAATTATTATCAACTAGGTTATTGAACAATTGTATTATTGTATATAAGAAATATTTCCTTTAAAGTATATTGATCTATGTTAATTGTTTCGTTCAATTAGAAGATCAATTATTTTAAATCTACTTAAATTAGTATAAAAATGTATGGAATATAAACGAATTTAATTGTAAAAGTAGTAATCCATGTTTAATGTTGATATGATTGATGGAAATATCTTTTACTAATAATAAGATAATTTATATTTATTTTACTCAATTAAAATTTGACAACCGGAATATACTGAATCCGGACTAATTGAAGCTATACTACGTGAGGGATAGTTGTATTTAATTTTGATTTTTATTTGAAAATTTAAATTAATTTTAATGTTTTAGTTTTATCAGGTATACATAATTAACTTAAAGTTGTGTTTATTGTTATTAATAAATTAGTCTATAGTTTATAATAAATACAGGATCAATAATAGCAAACTTTAAACGTAATATATACAAGTTACTTTATATAGATGAATCAATAGCTCGGATCTTGGATATGTATATTCAGTAGATTGTATATGTAATTGATGAGTTAAATATTTAACTTATTTTTGGTATTTTTGTTTTAGCTTTAATAAATTATTTCCGATGAGTACCGAGCATTGCGGGATAACGTCGTTGCTTCCAGTTTCTTGCAGAGGAAGTGCCGAAGCTTTTGCAAGGAATTTGCAAACGCGTTTAAGAATCCTGGGTCCGATTGATGCGAGTGAAACCAGTTGGATAAACAAACCCTCGAATGTTATGAGTATAGAAGAGAATTTATGTGGAATGCCCAGACCTTGCGAGGAGAGTGAGAGTAGCCATCCGTGCCAAGATATTAACGAAAACACGATAAATGATGTGCTGTATGCCAAAGAACTCGAAGTCCTCGAGATAGGCGAGATCACTAACGAGATTGTGAATAATGCATTGAATGTTATTGATTTTAATGAGAGCAGGAGCGAGGAGGACGGTGAAGAGGAGGAGTTGGAGGTTCCTAGGATAAGGAGGTGTTCTTCTTTGAAGACTGGTAAAACACCACCGGGAACGCCGGGCAGGAAGAAGATTGTACGGTTTGCAGACGTACTAGGTTTAGATTTGGCAGATGTGAGAATGTTCCTGGACGAGATTCCGAAGGTGCCGCCTTCGGCATACAAAGATTTGCGCAAGGATGAGGATGAGATCGTTAGTAAAACCGAGCGAACGTTGCTGGCGCTTTTCCAACAGCCCGGTGAGCATCCCAACTTCTTGGATAAAGTCAGAATCAATCAGGCGATGCTGGAGAATTGCATGATGGATGACCCTGTTTATTTGTCAGTGATGGGAATGATCAGGGTCCGGAATTTGGATTACAACAAGTCCGTTTATGTTAGGTACAGCTTAGACTCGTGGAAGACCCACTCGGATATCCAGGCTACCTACGTGGACAACTCTTGTGATGGATTCTCCGACAGGTTCAGTTTTAAGCTGTATGCTTACACGTTAAGCATTGGCCAGAGGTTGGAGTTCGCGATCAGATTCCAATGCAAAGGATTCCAGTTTTGGGATAACAACGGAGGAGCAAATTATTGTTTTCAGATGATGCCCCAGTCTCCACTTCATCAGCAATGCCTGCCGATTACGGGTCTCGATGAAAAATTCGCAACGTTTTGCTAGTAAGTATTGATCAACTCGTATAATACGTATGATAAAAATAATTCGATTCGCTTTTATGGACGACGTCCAAGAAATTTGCAATCAAACAGACCGCAGCAACGGTATAAATATCCATTCATTCAATTGCGTTACCAAAGTCAATATTAATCTGCGGGCGCTGTGAAAAGCCAAAAATTATTTTTATCGTGCCGTGCATGTTTCTATTTGTTTACAAAACCACACGTAAATACAGTATTCGGTATGAATGCTACTTTCAAAGTTTCGGACGCACATTTAAAAAAAACACTTCGGTCAAGAATAGTAAATTGGATAAATCAAAGAACCAACATATTAGAATAATTTAGTACTCACACAAATGCTTTGTTCCAAAGATTAATATTGCACATATTTCATATGTGACAGTATTAAATTATCTAATAAAATATATAAAAGCTATTAACAGTTTAAGCTATCAAACAAAATAAATCTAGCAATTGTTTAAATACAATTATACAAAGTAACAAGCTATGTATAGTCCAATACGCTTAAAGTCTTGTTAAACTGATTTGTAACTAGTGATGTAACTCGTACATTTTTATGTTATAAGCGCTCATTTAACGTACTTTTATAATATGTACATGAATATGTATGGTACAAATGTTCGTACGTGCCTACAATGATGTCAGTTAGATCCATCCGTGGGTCTGAACTTAGTATTTATATTGTGTATTTAACTTCTATTCAAATCAAGTTGTGGTGTTCTTTATTTCTAAGACTCATTTTAACGTGCAAAATAACATCAAGATCTATAAATACAATTCAAATATATAGAGTCCGCTTGCAGTCTGAATGAAAAGTACGTTTGTTTGAGTATCGAATACGTTGGTATACGCGACAATACGTGCGAACTAAATATGTATAAAAAATCGAAAATATATGAAGTCATATGGGAATTTACCGTTATTTTAACGTAAATTCGCTTAGCGTACGGTAAATTTTAGAACATTATGTACGTTAACTGAGCATTGGTGTAGTCAAGAGATTTTTTTTCTAAATATAATAATATGATTTTGAATAAAATATATTGTATTAAAATCAGTATTTAATGTATAATATTAATGTTAGTTTGGTTGTATACGTCGTTACCATGGGTTAAATAAAATATTTTAGTTAGATTTATTTACAGTTTATTATATAAAATATGACTATAAAAAGTAATAGTAAAATAAGTATATTTAATATTAACCTTCTTGGTTCAAATGGCTGTTGCCATATACTCGACCTAATAGACATAAAAATAGAAACATTTTAGTTATTATCCTTAATATTATTAGTCTTTTACATGATTTCTAATGTTTACATAACAAATGAACATAAAATATTTACGATAGGGGTGATTGATTTGAATGTGCGTTCGAAATATGTCTTGTCCTGGGGGTAATATTACATGTAACTATGTATCAACAAATTTGATTGCTTTACGTTAACTGAATTCAATTTCAATTGTCCTTGCAGGATGACAAGTAAATATCAGATAGAAAACAAATAAATGAAACATCAAAAAATAAGAAAAAAAAATAGCAAAAAAACAAACAAAAAACGCATCTCAGCTTCCGCAACTAACGAAACGAACTCTTTAACAGCATGGACGAAGCCGGGAACGAAGCAAATTTGTGTCACACCGCTGTCCAGGACTACATTACGAATTCTTTGCAGAAAAACAATACTGCGGTTGTGGCTGCGAATCCCGGAAAACAGGAATTGTTTACGATTATTTTTGTTATATTCTTCTCTATTGTATTTTTGTACGTAAAACGGGCGGTATTTTTCTAGAACCTCCCGTTTTTCACTTTATATGTGTATATTCGTGATATTTTAGAAAGAAAACAAATGTTTGTTGTATTTTTATACATTTTAAATTTTACCCCATTCAAGTTAACTCTATTTTAGAAAGAGAAATATGTCGAGCGAACGATTTGATATAATTTTGTAGCCAAAAATTAGCATATTATTGTTATTATTATTATTTTTTTTTGTAAAAAATGAAATATGTTGCAGTATTGTGATTTATTTGTTATTTGAAAATAAATGTCCAATAATAAAAATATATTGTAATTAACTTAGTTATTAGGAATATGTAATACTGCTTACAAACTATCGATAAATATGCACTTAAATTTTTAGGGAAACATCACATTATTCATTATTGTTCAGGTAATTTTAGGGCAGCCAGCTGATTGTGTAACCTCTGCTTGCAGAACTGATAGAACTCTATTTCTTTCGTGAAATTCTTTCTCACGATGTCTTTGATCTCCTCGCTAACCGGAGGTTTGAAAAGATTCCGGTTTATCGTGTTGTATTGATTGATTTCATCTGCAATTCCGATTAAATAAGTATTGTTTGTATTTTAAATACTAGTTAAACTTACTCCAATAGACGTCTTTGGCTCCCTTAAAAAAGCGAGGAACGTAGTTTTCCAATACAGTAAATGTTGAGTTTAAGTCTTCAAGAACCCCAACAACCGAGTAGTGCTGCTCCACAGCTCTCTTAGCTCTTTGTAAAGCACCCTCGGTGTTGAAAGGTGTGCACGCTTCTTCGTGACCGCAGAAAAACATGCTTTGCCTCCTGTGATCACCGATTCCCTCCCTGGTTTCGCCCTTCATGTATCTGCATTCGCGATCTCCGGATAAAACGCAAGTCTCGAAGTCCTTAGCAAAAGAAACGTTAATATTCTGTTTGATACAATAGTTAAATTATTTATACTTTTTTAAGCCATTTCGGATCCGGAAGAGGGATGTCTGGGAATGCGATTTTTCGCTCGACGTAATACCAAGGCGCTCTGACGTAATAGTACCAAGAGATTACTCTTTCCACCGGATCTCTAACCAAATTCACGTAAATCGGCTCAGGTAATCCAAATCTGCGACATAAATTATAAAATTTTAGTTGAAAAAAGTAATGCGGTTGCATGGATGGTTTACTCTGAAAAATTAGTGAAGCACACGTGCTTTATGTAAACGCTGGGCGTATCGTAGCTGGAGACCATAGCGGCTAAAACAGCTTGATCTTCCGGAGCCAATCTTATAGTTTCCACCCTCTGCACCCGATCCTGATGGAATCCGAACTTGTTGATCATGCTCAATCTCCTCAGAAGCTCCATGAACGTTTGTGAGCCAACTTTGGGGACGCGATTGAAGAACAGAACCTCCTGCATCGCCTTTCTAGTGTTGTTCAGTTGGAACGGTTGCAGCGTTGTCGTCACCTTCGGACAAGACAATGGGATGAGGTGCTTATAAAAGTAAGAACTAGAGCGTCGCATTTCCCCGGTGACTGCTCTTGAACTACAACTCTTGGCGTATATAATGAACTTAATCCGATGAGATTACGAGAGGCAGCATCTGCCGACCAGAGGATTCGAATAAATCGAAGCAATTTCATGGTTTTCGCGTGTACAATACGTGGAATATGTACTTTCATTTCTGATACAGAATATCTTTTTGAATCCGTTTCGAAAGGATGACAAATCTCCGGGATGCATGTACATTCTAAAATTTCTACTTTTTATTTTATTTATATTCTTTACACTACGTCTCGATTCATGCAGACCAATTATTCTACTGCAAATGGATAAGTAAATAGGTAATGTATATAATAGCTACCTCTCCTGCGCTTTGTAATATCTTCATCATTGCTCTCACGCCAGATGATGGATGGTGAGCTGGTCCACTGTCACCTGAAAGCATCATTAGTAATTTAATAGAGGATCAACAATTACATTAAAGAAATATAAATATACTTTATTTTCAAATTTGTCGAGATATTCGTGAATTGATTTATCTAGAGTTTCTGTTACATTCCTCATTATAGTCTATTTTGATGCAATTATTTTGATAAATTAATACCATTGTTTTATGGATTAAGCAAATAATAGAATATTTATTTCAATTCGTACTTCTAAAGTATTTAATGATACAATAAAATCTCGTTTCATGAAACCTAAATAGCTCTAAATTTACCTATTTACTATAAGTTAAAAAGGACTTTACTGTTATATCCTAATACATTATACAAGAAATAATATACACTGTAGTACAAACAATTACGGTTGCATGTTGAAATACTTTGATTTCTACCAATTTACTCATTATCTTATTTTACTTAGAAACCAACAATGCATTGCATCTGCTTAATAGACGTTACGTATACAGGCAAGGAAATCAAACTTCTTCCTTGCGTAAGTAAACTATATCAAAGAGACCCGAAGAAAGCGAAGACTTGCCAAGAGGATTACACAAAGGAAAGAAATGCTAAAAGCATGTTTTCCATTTAGAATAAAGTCCTCTTGCGGAATGCCACATTTTAGTCGGTAATTATAATATTTACAGGACGCGTGCTCACTCACGATTGTGTGCGCGCTCTTTGATTAAGCGAGAATTGAATAGAAGCATCTTAATTTTCGTGCAAACTCCGTGTGTTTGTTTAATTTGCGTCACTAATTAGCGACTTGCACAACGTCCACTTTACCTGAAATTAACTGATTCGACGAGAGAAGTTCATCTGGGTGGAGTCTGACCTCCATCTCTTTCAATCTCGTATTCAAGTCCCTCGTGTGTAGAAAAAGGAAGAGGGTCGTCGAAATAGCAACTAACGCAATCAGCTCGCTGGTCCTGAAAACATGAAATATATTCCTATTAATAATTAATAAATATTTTACATTACATCCAATCAATAAGTTATTTTCAATTTAATTTGCTTTTATTTTCGTCTTTGAAGGCTGAATGAAGATGTAGGCTTATAATGATTTTTATCTTGGATTACTGTACATTCGGTATAATTATTATAAAATATGGTGCACACAATATTGTGTTAAATCATTATAATTTCCCACATCCAAGACAAATGGAGAAAGGCACTAAACAGTTACCTAGCCTATTACACAAAACGGCTCAGCTTTCTGCATAGGAAGTCTTGCATCCCAATACCATTTTGTATTCTTTCACCTCAGCTGTGTTAAATTAGAGAATAAAAAAGAAACAATCTTAAATTTAAAGTTCATAAAAAGCAATGAATAGGAAAGTAAGTTTGCAATTAGAATTACGTATAATACGTTTAATATATTTTCAAGTACGTTACTTTTGGGAGCTAACGCTAGTGATAAAATGAATCTTAAGCTGCTTATGCTCCGATGATCGGTTTACTAACAATTCGGGTAAACACCGTTAACACCGATTTTGCACAAATTATGTTCGTTAACCGAATACACACTGTATATTGCTATATTTCAATTAAATTATATTCAAAAAAGTAGAACTTAAATATAAAACGCATAAGCGCAAGTTAACAGCAAGTACTTATTAAGAAAGTAAGCTTAAAATTAGAATTACGTATACTTCTAATATTTTACAAATGGTTAAAGTACAAAGTATTTAAAACATGAATTGTAATGTAAAACTTAATTTAAATTAGGTATAATATTAAATGTATGTCGCTTGAACACATTCATCGCTATGAAAGTAAATGTACTGTTATAATGGATAATACATTTTAAGTAAGTATAAGATGCTGCTTCTATTGGAAGGTTATAACCTAATTCGATATAGAGACAGTTATGGTACAGCATTTTACGAAGATGAAAATGAAGAGTTTCCTTTTGAGAAAGGAGATTGGTGAAATTTGTGATTTTGATAAGTAGCTACATTAGAAATCGGTACAGTACTTTAGCGTTTCGCATAGAAATTAACAAGAGTAAAATAACAATGAAACAAATTGGTTTGTTTATTAATAAAAATATAAATTAATTGTATTTTACTTCAGATATAATTATTATTTATGCAGATTACTATAATTATTGTCAATTTAGTAAACCCTTAGGTAAGAAAGTGCGTAAATAATTTTTTTTTTAAATATTATATAATTGAATATTATTTTTATAAGCTTCGTTATTCTGTTAACTAAATACACACGCTTTTGATACATGATTATATATTTTAGATATAAATCATATTAGCATAATCCAATTAGTATCAATATCGGTAATAAATTAGTAGTATGTTTATTATTATATAATTTATAATAGACGATGAATATTCATTTCCAGTGCTAGATGTTTCTTTGATCCGATACGTAAGTATACAATCCATATGTGTTCCTGTTTATTTTTCCATGTTTTCATTCATTATTGATAATAATATTATCAAAATATATTTATCAGATTTGTCTTCTTAAAAATTGCATTGAGCGTATACTCCAATATTTCTAAACTAGAACATAATTTAACAAACTTTTTTTTAAGATAAACTATGAGAAAGTCAATTTGTAAATTTTGAGTATTTTTATAACAAAGTCCGCAAATTCCACGTATTAGCCACTTTTGTCCTGAATTAAATGGATACAGAAGAAATGTTAAAACTTTTAGGAAAAAAATTATCATTGAAAACGCAATTAAAAATAAGTAATTAATTAAATGCTTTTAGAATTTGATTTTTATTTCATATAACTTTACTGGAATGCATCATATTCTTTAATCGAGATATGATTATAAATTGATAATAATTATTCAGAAATATTTATATAATAATAATAAATTATTTTTTGTTAATTAAAATAGACTAGCAAAAACTATATGAAATATGTATAAACCAAAAATCATTGTGGGAAAACTTATTGTATAACACAATTAAATATATGTTGATTTAATCACCGCATCATTAAGAAAGTAAGCGTTAGTAATTACACATCGAATGAATGAACTAATAGAAACCTGAATTGGTCATGTTACAGATATTTTCTTGCAATCGAATGAAACGAAGAAAAAAAACACACAAACGGAAGTTTCCTTTTAAGAAAGCAGTCTACGCGTATTCGCGGCGTTGATAAGCTACTTCGATATTCAAATTGGAATAAATAGGAAATGCAAACAAAAAATATTTCGTTGCTGTCCCAGATTTTAACCGAAACGATCGGTTAACGTAATTAATTTGCATCGTGCGAAACGAAATGTAAGTGTCTTATCTTAAGTAACATTTAATATAGAGAATTTCGGTGAATGCCGAAATGGTGACCTGAATCGAGATAAAAGTAAAAATGCACACGGATGAAAAGTTGCAGGGCCGGACAGAAGAAAGTTCCACTTTCCTGCACCGTCTGACCTTACGAAACTGGATATGTGACCACCACGCAATAATCGTCCAAGAAGAAGGCGAAGAAGAATCGAATAAATCCTGAAATAATGAAGTCTCTCTTTCGTGTCCGTAAAAGAAATCGGACAATCTTCTTAAATATTTATTACTAAAATATCCTGTACACATTCATATATTTTTGTATAAAACTAAAAAAGGAGAAGAAACTTCTGTTTTATTAAATCGTCCTACTTTTTTTATAAACCATTTCAATAAATTACTTTGCAGTTCATAAAATAGACAATCCTTTAAATTTTAAAACTTTTATATCCACATATTATTCTTGAATTCTTATCAGGTAGATTTATAAGTTTTTGATAATTCAATAAAGTAAGACTTAAATATTCCGGAACTAAATACATATTAAACAGTACATAAAGAAACTTAACTATATTAAGTGAAAAAAACGAGCATTTATGTAGAATATTTGTTTGTACTAAATTTTAGTAAGTATTTATATTTTTTAATCCGCATTTAGTAAACCCACTCTGGTCAAAGGTACTATGCGAGGTATTGCTGTATTTAAAATAAATTTGTTTATTCTAAGCTTTTCAATATTTGTAGTTGCAAATATTTGTATTTAGAGATGTCTCGTCTACATGAGGCTGGAATTAATACATTCTTAAGTGATTATTTTTCAAGTGAATGAAAAGAAAACTTTTATTTAATATTTTCAAATCACATTCAATTTATCATACAAAATTCCTATTTATCACTGTTTGTGATAATTTCCAGCATTTTTCTAAAATTTTAACTTTATATTGATTTCTCTTGACTTATGAAATTCTATGATTTGCAACTTGCACTATTGCAACGGTTTATTTTTATGCTTATAAAAATAAACTATTCTAATAGTAGCAGCACTAATTAAAACTAGAAAATGCGTTAATATTACAAACAACGCAGTTTCTGGATGATGAAGATCTTTCGGTGTTGACAGGCTTGAAATTTCATTGCGTCTCAGTCCGTTGAATAGAATGGCGGACGTTAACATGCGTTACAAATTTGAGCAAAATTAAGTACATCTCCGCCCGCTAATGCATCTTAAAGTTAAGTGACTTAAATGCTCTCGTCTTTTGCAGAAAATAGTAAGGTCAACGCCGATGATTTAGTAAAATTTATGATGCCTCCGTTTACGACTTGATGGATAAATAATTATGCCTGGAAAACAATAGCAAATGAGATTTCATTTGCTATTGAAATGTGGGAAGCGACGACAGAAAAAAAAAATCAAGCATAAAAGCACAGAGATTTCCATATACTTAATACATCAATCAGAGATACCCATTAAGTTTTTTTTTGTTTACAATCCAAGAAATTTGCATAGTTTTAATATTTGCAATCACTCATTAAACTGTATTTCTAAATATTTAAGATCAAATAATGATTATGACTATAAAATATTTCAATGACCATAAATGCTCAAGCAATAAATTGCAGACCATCGTTGTTAATGGACAAATAGAGGCGATGAAAAGATTTGACATCAGTGAAAGTTATTTAGTTTGATTTTATTTTTGCTTCTGTTGTTCTTGATTTTTTTTTGCTGCATCACCGGAGAAGTATTTGAAACCGCATCACGCATTTTCTACTTTTCTTTTATATTTATTTTGCCTTTCCGATTGCTACGAAAAACCATTAAATAAAGCAAAATGAAGCAATTTAGAGTGTGATGGCATCAAGCGCAATGGTGTGCTCGGAATCCTATTATAATTGATGCGATTAATCCATGTAGGAAATCGTTTTAGGAAAATCCTATTTTTCTTTGTCCAGAGAAAGTGGATTCGCTCGGATATGATACTCCCCTGCGAATAGGTGCGCACTTTACTCATATGAACTTACTGTTTTATGTAACTGATGTTATTGCAAAATCACATTTCTTAGTTGATGTGTTCACGGGAATTAAATGTGTATGTTCATTAGGTAGGAAAGCACAATTTTAGTTCAAATGATTTATGAAGTTATTATAAGTTTTATTGGAGAGAAACATCTGTCCAGGTAGTGCAGAAAACGTAAAAAATGTCGAGGAAATGAATGCTTTATACGGTTACATCTGTTCTGTAATGCATTGTAAATTTATTATATAGAATTAAATATACATTAACGCTTATTATATTAACATTAACGTGCAATAAAATATTGAACATGATATTTTTTTATTTTATTATTATATATAAATAATTAATTACAAATATTCCCAGCAAAATACATTGAAAATGTGGTTCTTAATAAATTTTAAAACGTTTCTTAAAATTACAATTTATATTTATTCTATAGAATGATTTAATTTAAGAAGATATTTTATAACTAAGTTAAGCATTTGACCTCATTATAATAGCTATTAAAGTAGGAAGATCTTTAATGAAATCGTCTACATCAGAGGTTCCCAAACTTTTTTGTGTCGTAGACCCCTTGTCATGTTTTTCGTAAGTAGTGAAGTTTAGTGTTAAAAACTTAAAGTAAAAACATATGTTAAGTTTTATATATTT